CGAGGTGGTTGGCTCAGAGTGGGGAAGGGAGATGACATGAAGGTGGAAGTCAAGGTGACCCTGCTCTGCCCCAGGGCTGATAGGTTAGCTGTGGAGTCAGAGCTGTCCTCAGTGGACTCAGACACAAGCAGAATGGAACAATGGGTGGAGAGTGAGACTTCATTAGGTAGACAAAGAGTAAAACCTCCAGCCTTTTCTATAGTTACTGTGAGTTACTTCCCATTGTGAGCCCAAAAAGGAAAGGAAAAAAATTCTTCTCTCCTGTGTAGCATTTGCCAGTTACCACGGTGTAAACACTTCCATTGCAAGTTACCAGTGTGACATCACTGAAAGCAGACTTGGGAAAGAGATTCTTCAGATCGACTCTAGGGAGGACACAGGTTCTCCTATAAGCCCTGGGAGGGTGGGTCCTGGTTCTCACTCCAGGGGGCTGCATGTGGACTGAGAGCTTCTTCCCAGAGTCACATGCCATCAGAGTGGCCATCACCAGTCAACACAGCCATGCACCCCACAAGCAGGCAGATGAAATTCACCAGCAGTCAGTGCGTTGGCCTCCCGGGGTAGGCACCTACATGTCCTCTCTACAAGGCCCAGGACTAATGACTCAGAGATGCTTAGGCCTCCGTGAGTTTACTCTACAGTGGCCACTTCCTGACACCTCCTGTCCATGCCAGGCGCCACACAGGGTACCAGGGAGACGAGATGAACTGCACAAAGTCATCACCCCTCAAAGCTCATGGATGCTGCAGTTATGAGTGCCAGGCCCTAGGACATGGCTCCGTTGTAGCTACACCTCCAGTGTTCTGTGTGGCCTTAAGTGGAGCACACAACCTCCTTGGGCCTCAGTTTCTTCATCTGTAAATGAAGGAGTTGAACTCAATGATCACTGAGATCTGTCCTCATTCTGGCCATGAGTCGGGGAAGGAAAAGGAGGCCTTCCACATAAGGAAGGTTAGTTGAAGGGACTAGGAATGTCCACAGGAGTGAGCCACAGGCAGAGTGGCAGATCGGGGTCCTGAAGGCCTGTCTCGGGTCCTGAGAAAGAAGCATGGCTGTGTGTGTCTCCATAGGCAGAGATTAGAACAGGATAGGACTCCTTCACTCCAGCTGGAAGATCCTGACACTGTTAGAGCATCCCAGTGAGGGCCTGGACCTCCTCAGGAGGGGATGGGCGCACGCCCCCACAGAGAGACTGTGCCCCTGCCTGTGCCACCTGGGCTGGATCCTTGGCAGAGGGCCCTGAGGGCAATGAGCCATGCCCTCTGTTCAGAAGGCATAAAAACAATCACTGAGTCCACTGTGTTCTGTGGAAAAACGTAAATAAGAAGCGAAAAGGTGACAATTACAGAAATGAGTAAGTAGCCAAGTAGATGCCCAAGGCAAAGGACTAGAAGAAAAGTTACCAAAGCATGAGCGATGACGGGGTTAGAAGACCATGGCGGTACTTTTTTCTCCATTTCCCTATTTACCAATGTCTGGGAGGGTGGTGACGTTGGTTTTCAGACGAAGGCAGTTTTATTCTTTATGGAAAATCATCTCCCAGTCCTCAGCCTGAGACGGGAAGCCGCTAAGCCCTCTTCCAGGCCAGTCAGGCCTGCTAGGCAGGAGGTGAGAGGAATCAGTATGAACGTGCCAGCTCCAGGTGGGTATGCATCCAACACCCACAGCCCGCACTGGGGCCCACAAGACTGGCTGGCGCCGTGTCCCGCTCCGTCTGGGTCCTGTGACTGAGCAGTAGGTGTCTAAAGGGGACCAGAACCTGGGCCTCAGGGTCTCTGCTGTGCATGTTACCAAAAGAGTTCAGGGCAAGCAATAAACTACCTGCTCCACCCCGTGGGTGGCCAAGGCCACAGCTGTGATCAAGTAAGACAACCACGGGATGGGGTCTGGCTGATGTGGAGGGGAAGGGGTCCCCAGATGTGAGGCTCACACACACACATGCACACACACAGCTTGCTCAGATGCCAAGCCTGTGCGTGCCTGCTTTTCCCTCCCATGCCCCCTGACTATGATCTCTGGAGGAGGCCATTTCCTTGGTGCCCACCGGTGCCCGACAGGGGCTGTGGCCTGGCCTATGCCAGTTCCTCCCCTCCCCCGCCACCACTCCCTGGCTCTCCACGCCAGCCCAGCCCCAGGCCTCGCTCCACCAGCCCTCCGTTTCCCGGTTTCCCAGGGAGAAAGGCCTCCCTGTCTGGCCTGCCTCCCCCTCACATAAAAGCCTCAGTGAGTCTCCGAGACGCTGGAACCCAGACAGAATGGAATTTCTCCCTATTTTCTTTACAGCTGAGAAAACACACATAAACACAGGAGCATATTTATTGCAATATTTCTATCCCGAAGTTTGTCTTTAAAAAGAAGAAATAAAATTAATTTCTTTGCCCACCCCCACTCCTCCCAAAGCCCTTTAGGTTCCTCCCCCATTTCCTGGTCCAGGCCAGGGAGGAGAAATGCAGCGGCCCAAGTCCACGGGCAGCACCGCCTCCCCACACAATGCGGGACTGTTCTGAGCCAGAGGAGACACAGAGCTCCCAGTGCCCAGGACTCTGGGAAGAAGAGGCGGCCAGTGTCTCAGTGCGAGTCCCCGAGCTCTAGGAAGAAAGGGGCTCAGCCAGGCCGCACCCCAGTCCAAGAGGACACCTCACTCTCTGGCTCCTGTCTTCCAGAGACCCTGTTCCCAGTTGTGACTGGTCACACTGGGCTCTCACCAGAGCCTCTGGCTCAGTGGACCCCCGGAGATGGACCCAGAGCCCCAGTGCTATGTTTTAAAGGCAGCATCTAAGCAGAAATCCCTGGAGGAGAAGCAAAGGGCCACTTTTTACAACTAAGAGACTTTCTAGACTTCCTGTGGCACGAGCGTGACCTGCACCTGCAATAGTTTCCCTGCTGCCCGAGGGGAAGGTGGGGGGGTAGGAAGATGTCAGAGTCAGGGGGCAGGCATGGTCATGGGAACCTGGGCTTGGTGTTCCTGGCTGGGAAAACCAGAGATCTCCAGCTCTCCTGCCCTTGGGGTGCTCCCTCATCTCCATATCCACCCAGCCCCAGCCAAAGGTGACTGCCCAAGAGCGACCTTGCGGGGACCTCAGCTACCCTCTAAGCCCCAGCTCCCCATCCAGGGGTCTCCATCCATGGCCCCCAAACCTCCTTCCTCTGGGCCACAAATTCTCCTTCCTCCTGAAGCAGATGCTCCCGCTGGAGAGGAGGGCAGGGCAGGTGCACCTGACAGCACCCCGGGACTTCACCTGGAGTGCAGATCATAGGTGTATATAGTGTATATAGTGTGTCGCTGAGCTGTGTACACAGCATCACAGTCATTCAGCAAGGGGAGTTTGTCTTGCCCACTCACATGAAGTCCTGTTTGGGCCACCAAGTGGGCCACAGGGATCCCACTTCACTCCTAAATTACTGATCTCTTCATCTCAAAGTTTGTCAAGCGTCATCCAGGCTTGAACTGGGTCCCAGAATCTCACCTGAAACTGAGGCCTGAAGACAGCTGGCAAACCCAGATGTCATCAGGGAGGCTGGGCCACTGGTCACTTCTCTGGACCTGGGCAACATAGAGACATATTTCTCTGGAGACCCCTGTTTGAAACATATGAATGAATTTTTAATTAAAAGAAACTTATTAAAGATGCATGGCCAAGAACGGTGGGGCGAGTGTGTTTGAAGCAATGGAGGAGGGTGCTGGGAGCCAAATGTTAATGGCAATGTGTCTTACTAAAATAATTATTTATTTAGACACTTACAATATGTCTTAATCTCCCTATGTATTATATATATTTTAACACATCTCTTAACAATGGGGATACTTTTGGAGAACTGCAGAGTTAGACAGTTTTGTCACTGTGTGAGCATCACAGAGTACACTTATAGGGACCTTAAGTGGCACAGGCCAATCACTCCTCGTGGCCTCTCAGTGTGACCAAGGGTCACAGTAATGACAAATCGGATCCATGAGTAGAGGCACATGACTTTAATCCCAGCACTTGGGAAGCTGAGGCAAGAGGATCACAAGTTCAAAGCCAGCCTTGTCTGGGCTACATAAGTGAGTTCAAAGCCAGTCTGAACTACACAGGGATACCCTGTCCCAAACAAAAACAAAAAGACAAGATGGATGAGGCCATGCTGTTTACCACAGTGAACTGTTTTATAGTAAACTTGTTTGCTAAGTTGAGAAAGAACACACTAAAATAATGGCAAAAAGTAAAATATAAGAAATACCTAAACCAGTGGGCTAATCGTTTGTTATCATTACCCACGTATTTGCCTGTGCTGTTCTTTGATACAGCTGGCAACACAGATTTCTTTATACCCTCAGATACGGGGCCTATCACTGACATGGATATTTTTATATAGCACATGACTCTGTGTGTGTGTGTGTGTGTGTGTGTGTGTGTGTGTGTGTGGTGTAAGAAACAGACAGAGAGATCATAAGGAATTTGTTCACACAATGATGGAAACCAGCAAGTCCCAAGTTCTGAAGGGAACCTGAAAAACTGGAAACCTAGGAGAGCTGCTTCAGTTCAAGTTTGAAGGGAAGAAAAAGAATGTTGTTGTAGTTTGAAAGCCATCAGAGAGGAAGAATTCTCTTCTTCAGAGGAAGGCTCTTGATCTGCCCTTTTCAAGCTTTCACCCAATGAAGTGAGGCCCACCCACAAGGAAGAGGGGAACTTACTTTATTCAGTCTGCTACTTCACATGATTGTCTCATTCAGAAACCCCCTAGACACAGCAGAACAGTGTTTGACTAAATGTTTAGGGTCGCTATGGCCCAGACAAGTTGATCGCTAACACCAAGCGTCACAAGATTTGTTCAAAGGAGTGTTCACAGAAAGATGGGAGGTTGAGTCCATCAGTATAATGCCTGGAATTAAATGTGGAAACCAGTGAAGATTCTGGGAGGAAAAAGATAATTTCTCCATGAATGGTCTAGACATGATTTCAGGTCACTTGACCCTCCTCCATGTCCCCATGCTTTAATGAGCCTCTGCCTTCCTCTTTCAGGTGAACTATGACCACTTTATTCTTCGTTTTTGTGACTTTGAGGGTCATCACAGCTGCCATCTTAGAAGAAGCTTCAGGTAAGGACATTCCCACACATAGCCCATTTATTTACTAGGTGCTTAGTGGTAGGTTCTGAGTCCTGGGCACCGAACCAGGTGCTTGTTAGTCTCAAGGACACAATTCCCACCCCCCTTGCCTTCTCCTGGCCACAGTGCCTTGGGAAAGCCTTGCTCAGACCATTGGCGGCTGGCCACCAGCCTTGTAGCAAGGACACAGAGGACAGATCCTAGTTGGACCTCTGCCCAGTGCCTTTCTCTGAGGTCACACACAACTTGCACTGTGCACACCATCTGGGGCAGGACACAGAGAGACGAACAGAGATGAGCTTCCAGGTGGAGCTGGGAGCATCACAGAAGCCCAAAGTGACATGATGGTCTCGGCTTTAATGGTCTGGACTCTCTCAGAAGTCTCAGCTGGTCTCCACACAGGGTGGGCACCTGCTCCATGCCTGAAAACCAAGCCCTAGCCCAAATGAACAAGGTAACCCCCACTGACCCCAAAGTGGAATGAATCTCCCTCAGATCAAACACAGGAGACCCCTGTGCAGGACCCTGTGATGTAGATCCCTCCCCTGCCTGACCCTCACCCAAAGAGTGAGCATCTGCAGGTCAATGGGACATGTCCACCATACTGGGGGTACTGGATGCCTGAATTCCCTGTCCACAGTGGTCCTCCTGGCCACTTCCTGGACCACCATGGGACCTTCCTCCCCTGGGGGATCACAGCCCTCATGTGAGTGCCCCTCCCGCCAAGGCAACAGGAAAGGACTGAGAAATAACTATTTGCATGGGATGCAGAAGAAGCTGGCATGGAGGGTGGAGAGCACCCCAGTATGTACACAAGACCCCCATCCGGTGCAAAGTCGGTGAACCCCTGAGATGGGCCCTGGCGCCTCCTTTCCCACCAGGCCACGACGTCCCAATACAAAGCTCTAAGGAGTCTAGGAATGCTAAATTTGAATCTGGCTGTTTAGGTCATTTTGAAAAATACCATTGCCAAATAGGACGATGCAACAGCTTTTATGTCACAGTCCATTGACGTGATTCATCACCTATGATCTGTGGCCCTCCACTTGTACAGCTGCTTTTGGTTCCACAGATACCCAAAACCTGCTGGGTATAGTGGGGCATATCTTGGAAACTGAGGCAGGAGGAGCAGAAGTCTGAACCCAGCTTGAGCAATTTAGAGACTTAGCAGAACCCTATCTCAAAATAAAAAATAAAAAATGCTGGAGATGTAGCTCAGGTCAAAGGCCTTGGATTCAATCCCCAGCAACACACACACACACACACACACACACCCCTTCCCATCCCAGGGAGGTGGAGTATCCGCACCAGTGAACCACTAGGGTTGGCTGAGAGCTTTAACAGCTGCCCATCATCGGGGTGCTGCAGTAATCCTGAGCTGCCACATGTGACCCAACACTGCAAAACCAAGCTGTGGCTGTCAGTGCTGGGGGTTCAGACAGAGATGTTTGTGATAGAGGCTGGTGGAGACTGTCCAGACATCAAAGACCACCCCTGGACTCCACACTGCCCCCTCCTCACCCTGCGGCTCCCACACGCACCGGAAGCATTTTGCCTTCTGCCTATAGGTGCTCCTGAGAGACAGGGTTCCATAAGGTTAGGACCCACCAGGAAAGACACTACGTTAGAAAAAGCTGTTTCTCTCCCGTGCCAGGCAAACTGGACTTGGTAAACACGCTGCCTCTTCCCTACCAATGCGCTCCATGATTCTTGTGTAGCTGATCCTACCCCACAGTGTGACCCTCCTTGGAGGGAAATGTCTGATCTCTCCAATGCTTCTCCAGCCAGTTCCCCAACCCAACACCCCAAGCAGATGTTCCCAAAACAGACACATCCGTGAAATTTTGTACCTCAGCTTTAAAAGTTGGTACAACATTTCATATCCCCATGAAAATTTTTTAGACCTCAACATAATTCTTTTCCAAAACCTTGGAGTCAAGCCATCTCTCAAAAAAAATGGGTCCTGTTTATCCTATGGCTTGGCATCCCCCTGGGAAACCCCAGTCTGAGAAACAGAGGTAGTCTGGACTGTGGGTCTCACTCCTGGCTGTGCGATTTGTGTCCTGAGGTCTTGCAAAGGGCATAATAAGGCCTCCTGGGGATCCCTGGTCAAAGACACAGCACGCATGTAGCATTTTGCCTTTCCAGGGGGGATAGGGGAGCCCAGGCGGTCCTCTCGGGGTGCTAACAGGCCTGTTGTCCACCTCACTTTCTCCAGCGGACCACGACAATGCGTTGAGTGTGAGCATCCCTCAACCATCCCCGCTGAAAGTCCTCCTGGGGACCTCCGTCACCATCCCCTGCTACTTCATCGATCCCATGCACCCTGTGACCACTGCCCCCTCCACCGCCCCCCTCTCCCCGAGGATCAAGTGGAGTCGCATTTCCAAGGAGAAGGAAGTGGTCCTGCTGGTGGCCACTGAGGGGCGTGTGAGGGTCAACAGCGCTTACCAGGACAGGGTCTCTCTGCCCAGCTACCCAGCCATCCCCAGCGATGCCACCTTGGAAATCCAGCACCTGCGCTCCAACGACTCCGGGATCTATCGCTGCGAGGTGATGCACGGCCTTGAGGACAGTGAGGCCACCCTGGAGGTCCTGGTGAAAGGTGAGAGCCCTCATAGGGACACCACTTCCCCTGCAGGAAGAGCCAGGTGGGGTCCTCACCACGACAACAAGGCAGGCTGGTACCTCAGTCAAGAGGCTCAGCCTCAGCTTCTGCCTCTGTAATGTGGGGCTGGGAGTGCCCTTCTCTCTGAACTTTGAGGGGTACTGAATACTCTCTGGCCACGATCACAGGGAGAGGCAGATTGTGCTTCACAGCAAACCAGTGGTCAGGCGGACTTCGGTGATTGTGTTTATTTTGCCAATAAGCAAACTGAGGTTAAATGATTTGCCTAAAGTCACCCTTTAAATGAGTCAGGTGTCTTTAATCTCCTCCTCCCTCTCTTTCTCCTTCTGCTCGTCCTCCACCACCACCACCACCACCACCCCCCTGCCCCATTCTCAATTCCAGAAGCCAGAGAACAGACTGAGCACCCCCTGGAATCCTTTCTCTAGCAGGATGACCTTGGGCTGACGATGCTGGGGACCCTTCTCGAAAACCAATCTGGGCTCCTGGAGTGACAAAAACTAATAAGGGGGTAGATTTTAGTTAAGTTCAAAGAACTTCCTGATCACCAGAATTATTAGAAGTATTCAGAAAGAAAGGCCTTGTGAGGCAGTGGGTTCCATGTTACTGGGAGTGTTCCAGCAAGGTGCCAGGGGTCATGCAAAGGTGAAGAGGGGTCCACGTTCCTAAGGGTCCCTGGATCACTGCTGTGATTCTGAGGGGGCATCGTGGCCGCTGCTGCCCCTGACCATCTCACCGGGTGCCTCTGGCAGGCATCGTGTTCCACTACAGAGCCATCTCCACGCGCTACACCCTGGACTTCGACAGGGCCCAACGGGCCTGCCTACAGAACAGTGCCATCATCGCGACACCCGAGCAGCTCCAGGCCGCCTACGAGGACGGCTTCCACCAATGTGACGCGGGCTGGCTGGCTGACCAGACTGTGCGGTGAGTGACCGCCCACCAGGCTAGTGGAGGGACTCGGGACTGGGCCAGCTCAGAGGCCACAGCACAGAGGGGCTGGCGATGGAGCACTGACTGGCATGGGCTCATGCCAGCGTGACACTGAGCTAGCTTAGTTAGGGGCCTGGTTATACTTTGGTCATTCTCTCCAGATGGAAGAGGGGCTGCCTTTTATTACTCTCCTGCCCACTGTTTCTTTTGCCAAGGCTTCTTCACTTACTCATCTGCTTTGCTTTGGTTTGATTCTTTTGACTGGGTCCTACAATTGAATCCAGAGCCTTCACTCTGAGCTACACCTAAGGCCTTTAAAAATTTTTTTTATTTTGACACAAGGTCATACTATGTAGCTAAGGTGCCCAAGCTGGGCTCAAACTTGTGATCCTCCTGCTTCAACCTCCCCCAGAGTCCTGGGGATTACAGGAGTGTACCACCACGTTCAGTTTGTTTTGTTTTTTGACTTTGGTGCTTTATATATTTTTGTAAATCACCTCATGTTCTTCTTGTTTCTAATGCAAGACATATATCTAAGCTTCTTGTGCATCTTTTAACTGTGAGCAGCACCCAGAACAGATAGCAAAGCAGCACGGAGACAGCTCTGCCCCAGAAGTTCTCAGCACAGTGCTGGTGCCCGGGAGGACACCTGTACTCTTCAGTCCAGGGAGCTCTAAGCGCTCACCCTACAAGCCATAACCTCTAAACCTCAGGAGAACAATCAAAATGGCTTTGTGATCTTACATATCAAAGAGAGCTCAGGACACACACACACACACACACACACACACACACACACACGCTAAACATAAGACTCAATATATGAGCAAAATGAGACAAAAGGCCAGGGTGATGTAAGAGCTCACAAATTAGCCTGGAAAAGAGCTGGACTCAAGTCTCAGGGCGGGTGCAGGAAGCTGAGTGATCTTGCATCTCAGAATCCCCATTTCTTAAGTGTAAGACAGAGTCTTTATATCACTGCCTCCTTAAATTGATGTGAGAGTCAAATGACACTGAGCAGAATCCAACAAACTACAGCTCTTGGGCCAAACCCAAACCCTTGCTTCTGAAAATAAAGTTTTATTGGAACACAGATGCCCCCATGCAGTTATATATTACCTGTGACCACTCTGTGCTACTGTGGTATCTGTGTCCTCATATGAAGAGTCTCAGGGGAGTCGTTTCCAGGCTTGGTATCCTTAATAAAGACAGAACGGAGGAATAAGAGAAAGATTGATTAAGAGGGAAGAAATGAAAGTACGCTCCTCAGGGTGGCAGTGGGCCAGTGAGAAAACCTCCCCCCACTTACAGTCGGGCACTGGGTCTCTTAAGGTCCTGGGACTTTGGGCGGATCCACAGCTGGAAATGGACAGGAATCATGGCCCAACGGGATATGTGACTCAGTCACCCATTTGGAGGGAGAGTTTTTGACCACATGAGGATTTAGAGGACGTGTCATGGCACCTAAAGCCCACAGGAAGGGAGGATCAAAACTGCAAGTCAAGGGCCAGGGCTGGATGCTGTGGCTTTGTGCATTCCTAGGGTCTAGGGAGTACAGGATAACCTTTACCAGTTGGCTTCCCAATGTTTTGACATGGCTGTGCTTGCTCCATCTGGTTTCTCAATTTTTGCCCAGTGCTATTGCATGGCTACTTATTCTTCCTCTACTCCCTACCTCAGTTGAGTAGTCATCCCAGACACCCTGAAAAGCCCAAAGTACTTACCATTCTGGGAGACTGAGGCGGGAGGATCAAAAGTTCAAACCCAGCCTGGCTGGGGAACTCGGGGACCTAGCAAGTCCTTGTCTCAAAATAAAAAAAAGGGCTGGAGACATAAATCAGTGCAAAGGCCCTGGGTTCAATCCCCAGTACCAAAAAAAATATTTTTTAAGCCTTTTATCTGGCAGTTTACAGAGACAGTTTGTAGGCCTTGGATAGAGTATGTTTGGCACCAATAAATATTCAGTAAAAGGCCACCTGCTTTTGCCCCATAATGCTGTACTTGGAGACGCAGAGAGGGGATGGATTCCGAGCAGACACAGTCAAATGCAATCAATGTTCCGATGTCCTTCCCACTGCAAAAGACCAGGCTACAGGGCACCGAGCAGGGACAGGCCTCTGTCTCAGGGTCACAGTCTACCTCCAATCCCTGACAGGTACCCCATCCACACTCCCCGAGAAGGCTGCTACGGGGACAAGGACGAGTTCCCAGGGGTGAGAACCTATGGTATCCGGGACACCAACGAGACCTACGACGTGTACTGCTTCGCCGAGGAGATGGAGGGTGAGGCTGCCCGATGGCAAATCCTCCTCTGCCAAAAGGGGCTTGGAAGTGCTGCGGTCTGGATCCCTCTCTGCCCACCAGCGAGAGGGGCTAGTGACCCAAACGCCTGCAAACTGTTTAATGTCACTACTGGACCCAAAAGTCCCTGTCAAGGGAAGACTTTCACCTGGCCTTGTGTCTTCCAAACCCAGACCCTTGTCTCTTTGACTTTCTGGTACACTGTGCCTTCAAAGCCCTGTTTTCCCATTGCAATTAGAACCTTAGAGATTTGCTTTGAACTCGCAACGCCTTGATGCGGAGGAAGGCGCCCCTAGTGGTGGAAAACTGCGCAGCAAGCAGCTGAGCAAAATGCTTTTAGCCAGACTCCTCTAGAATTTCTCATATGATCAAGCATTGCCATTCTGGCTGCTTTTCTCTTGGTCCTGTTTCAGGACATTAGTGCCATCCTGCCCTAAAAGTCCAGAAACAGATGGAAAGTGGGATATTACGGGCAAGATCTGAGATACGGCTTTGTGGGTTCAAACGTGGAGGAAAACCGTGGGTCACTGGGGACTCAGGTCAGGGAAGGGGGAGATCTCACCAGGTCACCCGTGTCCTGCCCAGGCGAGGTCTTCTACGCAACATCCCCGGAGAAGTTCACCTTCCAGGAAGCTGCCAGCGAGTGCCGACGGCTGGGCGCGCGCCTGGCCACCACAGGCCAGCTCTACCTGGCCTGGCAGGGAGGCATGGACATGTGCAGCGCTGGCTGGCTAGCTGACCGCAGTGTGCGCTACCCCATCTCCAAGGCCCGGCCCAACTGTGGGGGCAACCTCCTGGGCGTGAGGACCGTCTACCTGCATGCCAACCAGACCGGGTACCCCGACCCCTCATCCCGCTACGACGCCATCTGCTACACAGGTAGGGCTGGGGCTATGCAGAAAGGGACTCACTGCCCTGACATCAGGTCCCAGAGGAAGAGACAGGCTTGGAAAGGGAAGGCTGGGATTAGTTTGTCACTTCAAAGGGGTCTGTGGGTACCTGAAGCTTATATTGTATCAAACCTGCCTCCCATTTTTGCGGGTTCCTAAGGCAGAGACATGGGAAACTACAGTATGTCCACCCCTGTGTCATCAGAGCCACACAGAACAAGGGGAAAGCATCACTCTGTTTTCTTAGGCTTGAGTCAGCTCTGCCGCCTCTGATCATGCAACCCTGGGAACGTCTAAGGCTCTGAGCCTTACTGTCACTGGCTGTGCACTAGAGAAATAGTTACTCTGTGGAAGATGGTGGGGCCCTTTTACGAGGCCATGAGCCCATAAGAAGGCAGTTATAAGCCCTTTTAAATTGACTTAAACCAACCATTTTGATACATGCTTGTAATCTCCGCACCCTGGGAAGCTGAGGCAGGAGGATTGAAAGTTCCAGCCCAACTTCAGCAATTTTGCAACTTAGCAAGGCCCTGTCTCAAAACTTAAAAAGGGCTGAGATTGTAGCTCAAGGCAAAGACTTGGTTCAAGCACCTATACTGCAAGTAAATAAAAAAGATTGAAACTAAATACATTGAGTTAAAAAGAGGGCCTAAGTGTTATTGAAAGAACAGAAAGCTAGGGGCTATATTATGAAAAAATAAAATAAACTATTTAAAATATTTTTTCTTATATTTAACATACATCAGATAAGTGCTTAATTCTGGAGAAAGATGAATAACACAGCTGACAAGTTTCATAGCTTTTTCAACAGAATTGGCAATAATGACAGATCACTTCATGTTTCAGTTGCATAGTTTGATCTTTCACAAAGAGGATTGCTTGTGCAAGAAATAACTAGGACTCCTCCCCTCCACACCCTCTCTTAAACTTTTGGTAGTCTAACCCCTCTTCAGAAGGATCAACTCATCTATTTCCTCCTTATTGATTAACTGGCCTTTTCTGCCAGCTCCTCATTTGTCCAGAATCATGAGGCTGGCTCTTCTCCAGTGCCACCTTCATCCATTCATGAACTATAGCGTTTGCAAGATCTGACAATTGGGCTTTATAACTCATTAGGCTTGCCCTTAGGGGAGTCCTAAGTTCAGTGATGTAAGCAGCAGGCTGGGACTGATTTGTAAACAATATGCTGATTGGCTGATATTTTGCGAGAATCTACCGGTTCAGCCAATCCCAGCTCGAAAATATTTGGGGGAGGGGGACTGTGTCTGTACTGAAGCTGTATGGATCTCTTTTCTTGCTGTTATTCCTTAAACAACACAAAAGCCACTGATGTAGCATTTATAATGTATTAAGTACTATAAGTAAACTAGAAATGTACATAGCAGGATGTCTGGGAGGTTCTGTGCAAATAGTATACTTTTTATATAAGGAACTTGAGCATCTCTGAAGATTTTGGTGACCACTTGAGGCTCTGGGATCTGTCCACATAGATACCAGGGGACAACTGTGCTCAGGCAGCCAAAGACATGCAGGCAGCCCAGGAGGGGAGGAGGTATGGCAGAATGGTTAAATCTGCCTTTGTGCCTTGCCCCAGGTGAAGACTTTGTGGACATCCCAGAAAATTTCTTCAGTGTGGGTGGTGAGGAGGACATCACCATCCAGACAGTCACCTGGCCCGATATGGAGCTGCCTCTGCCCCGAAACATCACAGAGGGGGAAGCCCGTGGCAACGTGATCCACACAGTGAAACCGGACTTCGAGGTCTCCCCTACCGACCTGGAGCCCGAGAAGTCCTTCACGTTTGCCCCTGACATGGAGGTCACAGCCTTCCCTGAGGCTGAGAATGGGACTGAGGAGATCACCAAGCCCTGGGGCTTTCCTGAGGAATCCCGCCCTACATCCTTCACCAGTGAGGACCTGGTTGTGCCGGTGACCATTGCCCCCGGAGCAGCCGAGGTCCCTGGGCAGCTGGGTGGTAAGTTTTTACCTGTGGCAGGATGCCTGGAGCAGGCCTAGAAGCCAGGAGCCATCTGGCTGCGCTTCACCTGGGGCCTGGGATCATCTTCTTCTCTCTCCAGCTAAACAAAACATGTCTTCAGTGTGTACCCACTTGGGGCTGGCCCTCAGCCACAGCCATCTGTCCTGCCACTCTCTCCCACCCGCAAGGCCTGAGCATGTCTCTCAGAACCTGGGGGTGGAAGACAGTTTCTCAGTTTTGGACAGGCCATACCAGTCATGTCCACTCTTTTGTCACAAACCACTAATCTTCAGTGAAGTCCTATGTGAAGATCAGGACAGGTGAGATGTGATCGAAACGTACTGTGAATATTTAAATGTTTTAAAATTTTATTACAGTAAAAGACATGTTGGCATTATTCCCCCTCAAATACGCCCCCTTGACTTAGACACATTTATCTCATCATTCTTGCCACTTTCTGAAGCAGCTCTGGAGTCCTCTTTCCTAAGTGTCTTTAGTTGTACAGTCAATGGCTGACTCAGTGCCCTGATTTTGATTCCAAATGTTTATCTTTCATAGTCATTTTGACTTTGGGGAAAAAATAACAAGTTGAATGGTACCCAATCCAGCGAATAAGGTGGATCAGGACATACCATAATATGTTTGGGAGGCTGCCTTTCTGTTAAGTGGCACTCAGCAGCATAAGTTACCATGGTTTTTTTAATCACACCTTGTAAAGACTCTCAGGAAAGTGTACTTCCAGAGCTGCTCCAGAAAGGCAGGATGATGGGATAAGTGTGTTCAAATCGAGGCGTTGTCTTTGGAGGGGGTTAATGGTAATGTGTCCTTTACTGTAATACGTTTTTCCCATTTAACCATTCACCATATATTTCAATCACCCCTTATAAGTCAAGCAAATGAAAGTATCACAGATCTAAGTGGAGGGGAGAACTGGGACTCCTCCTAGCCCAGCCCCTTCCTGCCCCATCAGGCACTGCCCCAAATTGGACCCACTTAAAAACCTGGGTGACCCCTGGGGCCTATCCCTGCCCATCCACCTTGCCAGGGCAAAGGTCAGCAAACTGTTGTCAATGGGCCAAACCCAGCGGTTCCAATGTGTCCACGAACTAAGAAAGGATTTTACACTCCTAAATAGTTGGAGGAGGAGGGTCAAACTAACGAGTGTGACACAAGAAAATTAAATGAATTCAAATTTCAGTGTCCATAAATAAAATGTGATTGCAATGAGCCATACTCATTTGTTAATGGGCTGTTTGGGGCTGAGCTGGACGACTGCAGTGGAGTAGAGTGGTTATGACAGAGGTTGTACGACTCCCAAAGCCTGAAACAGTTCCTGTGCAGTTCTGGGGAGGAGGGGAAGACTGGTCCTTGGGTCCAGAAAATGTCCAGAGAGCTAAGATGTCACATGACTGTTTCCCAAACTCAAGTCCATAAAGAGGAGGGACATTCTGGTGTGGCCTCCTTAGGGTCATGGTGGCATGCCAGTGAAGGAGCAGACAGGCACGGCCACCCTCGGTGCCACTAGGTGAGATTTCAGCCTAAACTGCCCACAAAAATCCAATGCAAAAAATCAAGCAAGCAAGCAAGCGATCCAATGCACGGAAGGGAGGGCTAGGCTCAGGATCGCACATGCGCAGCTGGGAGTGACTCTGGCTCCTCTCCCCTCTGCGCCACCTAGGGGTCGTGTTCCACTATCGGCCCGGCTCCACCCGCTACTCGCTGACCTTCGAGCAGGCGCAACAGGCCTGCCTGAGTGCGGGCGCTGTCATGGCCTCCCCGGAGCAGCTCCAGGCAGCCTACGAGGCAGGCTATGAGCAGTGCGACGCCGGCTGGCTGCAGGACCAGACCGTCAGGTAAAGGATCACCCCCCTCCTCCAGCCGCCCACTTCCAGGGACCTGGCCGAAGGAGCCTTGGTCGGGGTATAGCGCTCAGCACTGCATGGACTAACTTGCTTATGGGTGACTCCTTAGCTTCTCCCTAAACGTCTCCGCAGAACAGAATCGTAATCGGAAAGGTCAGTGAGGGCACTATATTAAATTTTAGGTAATTTTGCCCCCACGAGACATACAGAGGAGGCCCCTGCTCTAGAAAACCCCTTCTGTAATCCCATGGTCCCTTCCAGCATGACCAGTGCCCTTCTGAGTAGCAGGCTGTCTTCTGAAGCTGGGACCAACCGCTGCCCCCCCCCCACCTCCAGGGAACTTGCTATGTTGGATTGAATCCCATCAGACACCCCAAGACACACTCTGCCCACCTCCCTGTACCCTGAAACCCCCAGAATGGGCGCTCAATCTCCATCTCACCCTCCTTTGTAGGTACCCCATTGTGAGCCCACGGACGCCGTGTGTGGGTGACAAGGACAGCAGCCCCGGAGTGAGGTCCTACGGTATCCGTCCATCTTCAGAAACCTATGACGTCTACTGCTATGTGGACAAGCTCGAAGGTAAGGCTCCCCGTCCTAGATGGGCAGGGATGAGAGGGACCAAGAGGAAGGGAATTAGCACCCCCAGTCCCATCCCCTCCCTACCTTCCAAGAGCCAGGGTGCTGTTTAAGGAAGCAGGCCCATGCAGCCCTGGGCCTCCATCCCCTTTCCCGTCTCCCAGGGCTCTGGTGGCTCCCCAGCACTGCAAAGCCTCAGCTCCTTGCAAAGCCATGAATCCTGGGGGTGCATAAATTAATCTATTCCCAACAAATGGCACATATGCTCTGACACATAGAGTCCATTGCCCAAGAGCAAATGAAAGGCTCTGGGAAGTCCTACAATATGAAATCTCTTTACCTTAGACTGATCCAAGCTTATTCAACCACAGGCCTTTATTTTATTTCACAACTTTTTAATTTCAATGAAAATCACCTGGCAGGATGTAGTGGCACACACAGGTAGCACCAGCACTTAGACCAGCCTGTCTCCAGAAAAACAAAAAACAAACAAAAAGGAAATCAGCAAATCACTGTCCCACTGAATACAATTTGAGGAATGCTGGGGTTATGGAAAAATTTCAGAACCACCACCCACTGTTTCAGGATCCCGGGCAGGTTACCTCACCTCTCCAGGCTGTTTCTCATCTATAAAATGTGCCACATTAGAAGCTTTTTTTAGTATTAAGTGAGATGCATGTAAAAGGTGCCTGGCACAAGCAGCTGTTAAATAGTTGTCAGCCCCCACACACACACACACCTGGGTGCTGTACTGGGTGCTGGGACCCAACCCTGTCCTTGTGGAGCTCACAGGGTGGCAGGGCTGATCAACAGCATTCTTGAGGCTCCCTGGCAAGTGCAAGGCTCAGGTTGTTGGAATGAGAGGGGCCTTAGCCAAGGGGAGGGCACCCACGTGTGATGGAGAATCCAGAAGGAAAGTAAGGAGCAGAAGCACGGCCTGCAAATTGTGCCCAGCTCAGCCAGCTCTGCTGGGGCATTGCCTCTTTCAGCACCAGAAGGCCTGAATCCAGGAAAACCAGAGGCACCTAAGGGCTCAGCCTACAGGGAGTGACGGCCCTGGGCTGTTGGCAGGTGTCAGCCAATGCCAATAGGTTGGAGAGGCTGGGAATCTTTGTCCTGGGGAACAGGGGTAGATGTTCACAATGCCACCTACCTCTGTCCCCAGGGGAGGTGTTCTTCACCACGCGCCCGGAACAGTTCACCTTCCATGAGGCGCTGGCATTCTGTGAATCCCAAAACGCCTCACTGGCCACCACTGGCCAGCTCTACGCGGCCTGGGTGCGTGGCCTGGACAAGTGCTATGCAGGCTGGCTGGCAGACGGCACCCTCCGCTACCCCATCGTCACCCCGCGGCCAGCTTGCGGCGGGGACAAGCCAGGTGTGAGGACTGTCTACCTCTATCCCAACCAGACTGGCCTCCCGGACCCGCTGTCCCGCCACCACGCCTTCTGCTTCCAAGGTATGCACGTGTTCTGCTTCTCCTCCACCACCCCTTGCGCCAGGGGTGCCTCCCCTGGGCGCCCCCTCCTGGCCCTAGCTGCCTTCAACACGCGGCAGACCAAGGAAAGGAAGCGAGGCGACTCAAGCTAGCTTGACTTCAGGCTTTGACGCTAACACAAACAAGGTCATAGGTGTAAAGTTCCCAGAGACAGAGAGGAGGAAGTGAAGAACCTCAAAATCGAGCCAAACTGAGTTTGAATTATGTCCCTACTACTTAATAACTAAGGGACCCTGGGCAAGTGACTTAATGTTTCTCTGCTTCATCTGCAAATGGTGATAAAAATAGCTCCTGCTTTGAAATAAACAGTTGCAGACAAATATAAACTGGGATAATGCATATGAAGCATTATATACATATATAAGGTTTTGCATATATATATATATGGTTTTAATTTGTTCACCCATGTCAAATTCTCTCCTGCTTGAAAATGTTTCCATGATGAGCTTAACCAAGAAAGTATTTTCTCAACGACTGTAATTCATGTTTTATTGTCCTATGCTATGGCAACTCTGATGTGTCAACCATCATCACCCTTACACATCTGAGTGATGTCATTAAGCAACACCATGAGCGGGGGAGGCAGAGTGGGGCTAAAGTGTTGCTGGGCTCTGATTGGATGAGTTCTCACAATCGCAAAGTATGGCCTGGGTGCAGGGACCAAAATGTAAATGTAGAATAATATAGGCCATGTTTTCCGTATCGTACATCAAAGCTGAGTGTTGTTAAAGCTTCCTGTGGGTCCATGATCATTTCCAAATAATATTAAGGGAAACAAAAACCCTAATGGCTCCCAAGTTTCTCAAACTTCCAAGTCACTTTTTAAATCCAATTAACCAGCCTGAAGAAGCCTCCCAGTCCCTTCCCAGAGGATTTTATGAGCCCCTACTTGTGCCCTGGGCCACAGAACCCAGTTAATCAGCCTCCCAGTACACTCCATGCCATGAACCCCATACCCCATCCTGACACTCAGGGTACTCAGCTTCCGATATTATCCTGCAGAGAAGTTATCTTTCCTTCCTGATCTCCTCCAGTCTTCTGCCCCCAAGCCCACACCCCCAACCCCAAGCCAGAACAATTAGCCCCATCAGTGGATCCTGCCTTCACCCCTCCAAACACCAGGATGGCTGCATGGAACTTAAATACCACCCTTCTGCTTTGGTGGTATTTAAACATAGTCTCTGTCTCCAAGACAGACCACATTCTACAGTAGCTGAGAACGGCGATGTCGCACCAGATGCTTAAATTCAAAGATTAGTTCTGCCCCTTCTAAGTCACTGGCCTTGAGCTGGGAATGTAGCTCAGCAGTACAACGCCTACCTGGCAAGCACAAAGCCCAAAGTCTGATTCCTGGTATCAAAAAAAAAAAAAAAAGGGTCTACTGAAAAGCCCTTAAATCAGTGGGCCTGATTAATAAATGTGCCATGCCTTAGTTTCCCCTTTGTAAAATGGGAATAATTACATTGTGTACTGGATGCAAGCAGGTCTCATTTTAAAAGAGGGCAAAGAGCCATCTCACAGAACTGCAGGTGGCTGGGTGGCCAGAGGGCTCTTATACAGCCTGGCGGACCCCAGGGGCTCCGAAGGTCTCCTCACCACCACATCTTCTTTAGGTGTTCCAGGGGTGCCCTCTCCAGGAGAAGAGGAGAGTGGCACACCCACACCCCAAGCAGGCCTGGAGGACTGGATCATCACCCGAGCGGTGCCTGGTGTGGCCGTTATTCCTTTAAGAGAGGAGACAACTGCAGTCCTAGACTTCACCACTGGGCCAGAAAACCAGACGGAATGGGAACCGGTCTACACCACAATGGGCCTCTCCCCTCTGCCAGGTTAGTGCACCCCCTGAAGGCACACACCCCTGTCTGCCTGTGTGCACAGTGGGGTGGTTTCTTTCCCTAGGACCCAAGCTATGGCCCCAGCCCTGACACCGGCCCAGTGTGCTGCTGAGACAACTTTGACCACTTGAGCTCTAGGACCTGCCCCAGAGTGACTGGGACAGCCTTGTTGGTGAAACACACACGCACATTCTCTCTGGTCCCTTCATTTCTCCTACACACACACCCCAGCCCTGGGCCAAGCAGAGATCCTCAGTCACACTGTCCTGCACAGAAGCCCTCACCTGTGGGAGGATCTCCAAAGAGGTCAAGAGCCAGGAAAGGGGGAGCTGTTAAAAATCCGAACCTTTCTCCTTGCCCTTCTCTCTTCCATGACCCTCCTTTGACCCAGGCCTGCCAAAACTTCCTAAATCCTAAATGTCGTGATTAAATCAGAAAGGACTTCATGAGATGAAAGCCACAGTCCCCATACCTTGTCAGAAAGAAGTGTTTTGTGCCCCTGAGGTTTAGGGAAAATGGTTTACCAAAAGATCTGTAGATTTCCAACCTGTAGATGTTCTCAGAGCCTTAGATAGGTTAATGTGCCATAGAAGTATGCAGTAGGTCCCAAATGAACCTGGCCACAGAGCCTTCAAAAGTCCCCCTCCCCATGGAGTATTGTTAATGTCTAGTGACTCCCAGCTTGGGTAACACTGAATTAAACCAGTGTACAGTAGTGTGCGTGCCTGGTAGCATCAGCAGCTGGAAACATATGCATGGGAAGGTAGTCTCAGCAATTCCCACCAGTCCATCCAGACATTCATTCCACTCCTGGCTCCCCAGCCGGGTCTTAGGGCTGCAAAGCCTCTCTCTTTCTAGGCCAGAGGAAAGGAGGCGTCTATAGAGCAGGTGGGATCCCAGCCTGAGACCTCACCCAGCAACATCTGCTCATGGCCCTTTCCTCTCCCTTGCTAGGGCAAGAGCAACTGAGTCCTGTGAGCCTGGTGGGGGCAAGGCCTGGCACAGGAGGACCCTGGCCACCTCTGGTGGAGTGCTGCCCAGTGGCACAGTGCTCCAGTGCGCATCTTTAACTTCAGTGCTGGTTTCAGCCACAGCTGGGGCCATCTGTGGGATTGCTCATGCTGTGCCTTTTCATTTCAATTACTTTTCTTTTAAAAAAAATCATTTAAACAGAGAACTGTCAGATTATGACTGTAAATGGCCTGGCAGCCTGTTTCTCATGCATATGTTAAAATGCATAGCCATGCTGCTCTGGACACCACTAAACTCATGTAGTTATATGGTGACACTTCCATCCCCAAGCCCTCCAACAGTCTTAAGGAGGGACCCGGAGCTCACCAACCTCTTCAGCACTCCGGTGTGCCTGGACATAAGTGCCAAAGTACATGCAAGGTTCAGAACCCAGCTAGTTGTTTTCTAAATGCCAAAGAAAACCAAACCAAAAGAAAAGAATGTGACCATGATTATTTAGCATGGTGAGGTTTTTTTTTTTTCCCTCTGTTTTCAATGCCTGTATTATAAGACTCTCAGACTGAAAACTGTAAACAACATGTTTAAAGACAGCAGCCTCAGAAGCTGGGAATAGGGTGTAAGCCTATAGTCCCAGCATCAGACAGAGTCAGGAGGATTTCAAATTCAGCCTGGGGAAACTTGGTAACTTAGCAGCCTCTGCCTCAAAAGAAGAAAGGAAAGGGAATGGGGGAGGCTCAGCGCAGGGGCCCTGGGTTCAGTTCCCTGTGCTGAAAATAAGAAGAGAAAGAAAAAAATCCAAAACAAACAGCACCAACTGAGATGGGCAGGTCTCACCTTCCAGCACATATGAAGGAGCTGAGCTTCCGGGCAGCAAGGTTAGGGCAAGGGCTGGGGATTTTCATCTCCATCAACCCCCGAGAGGGTGCTGGTCCAGGGCCCAGGCTTTAAAACCGCAGATTTAGATGCAAGAGATGGTAACGTACTTGAAGGGGGACTGCGGTTGTCATCAGTGGCAGCCCCGTGTCCAGTGTGTTGTGTGGATGTAGCTCCCTGGTGTCTCACAAAGCACAACCTAGTTAGTCTGTGGCCCTGAGGGGACTGGTGGGAGCTTCCTGGTCCCCCTCTCCTTCCTTCCTTCCTTCCTTCCTGCCCTTCTTTGTTCCTTCTTTCTTCTTTCCATTCTTCCTCCCTTCCTTGTTTTCTTCCTAGCTGGGCATGTTGGTGCATGCTGTGGTCTCAGTACTCAGGAGGCTGAGGTAAGAAGACTGTTACAAGTTCAAGGCCAGCCTGGGCTACACAGTGAGTTCACGGCCAGCCTGAACTACAGGTGAGATCCTGTCTTCAAAACAAACAAACAAAACCCTCCTTTTCTCCCTTCTTCCCCATTGCAGCAATTCCATTGTGAAGCATCTGAACATGGCTGTACTCTTGGGGGAAAGGTTTCCGCAGGGTAGGACAGAGTTGAGTGTCCATGCATGAGCTTACACTGGAGCAGAGTCACTCCACGCACACCTCACCTGGCTTCCTGTCTTCCTACAGGGGTCCCATCCCTATGGCCTCCCACCGGCACAGCAGCAGAGGAGAGCACAGAGGGCCCGGGGGGAACTGCAGTACCATCCGCCTGGGAAGCACCTTCCTTCTCTCAGGAGCCATATACACCTTCTCCTGCAATGCCCAGTGCCACTGAGCTGCCAGACTTCCAGGAGGCATCTGAGGCCCCTGATGTCAGTGGTGCTTTCACAGACAGTGGAGAAGCTCCAGGAGCCACTGCAAGTGGACTGCCCTCTGGAGACCTTGACTCCAGTGTTCTCACCCCTACAGTAGTCTCCAGCCTGCCCCCAGGATATGAAGACAGAATTGAGTGGTCCAGCATTCCTACTATTGAAGTGCTGCCCACGGGAGCTGAAGACCTAGAAAGCTCTGCCCCTGGGGTATGGGACGGCAGCAGGCTTCCTTCTGGAGAGGAAGTTCTAGAGACTTCTACCTCTGGAGCAGGGGAAGTCAGTGGATTTCCTTCAGGAGGAGAAGCTCTAGAAACTTCTGCTTCTGGAGTAGAAGTCAGTGGACTTCCTTCAGGAGAAATTGTAGAGACCTCCACCTCTGGTATAGGGGAAGTCAGTGGGCTTCCTTCTGGAGAAGAAGTTCTAGAGACTTCTGCCTCTGGAGTAGAGGAAGTGAGTGGATTTCCTTCTGGAGAAGGTCTAGAGACTTCTACCTCTGGAATAGGGGAAGTCAGTGGGCTTCCTTCTGGAGAAGTTCTAGAGACTTCTACCTCTAGTATAGGGGAAGTCAGTGGACTTCCTTCTGGAGAAGTTCTAGAGACCTCCACCTCTGGAATAGGGGAAGTCAGTGGGCTTCCTTCTGGAGAAGAAGTTCTAGAGACTTCTACCTCTAGTATAGGGGAAGTCAGTGGGCTTCCTTCTGGAGAAGAAGTTCTAGAAACTTCTACCTCTGGAATAGGGGAAGTCAGTGGGCTTCCTTCTGGAGAAGTTCTAGAGACTTCTACCTCTGGTATAGGGGAAGTCAGTGGGCTTCCTTCTGGAGAAGTTCTAGAGACTTCTACCTCTAGTATAGGGGAAGTCAGTGGACTTCCTTCTGGAGAAGTTCTAGAGACCTCCACCTCTGGTATAGGGGAAGTCAGTGGGCTTCCTTCTGGAGAAGAAGTTCTAGAGACTTCTACCTCTGGTATAGGTGAAGTCAGTGGGCTTCCTTCTGGAGAAGAAGGTCTAGAAACTTCTGCCTCTGGAGTAGAGGAAGTGAGTGGATTTCCTTCTGGAGAAGGTCTAGAGACTTCTACCTCTGGAATAGGGGAAGTCAGTGGGCTTCCTTCTGGAGAAGAAGTTCTAGAGACTTCTACCTCTGGTATAGGGGAAGTCAGTGGGCTTCCTTCTGGAGAAGAAGGTCTAGAAACTTCTGCCTCTGGAGTAGGCGATATCAGTGGACTTCCTTCAGGAGATCTAGAGACTTCAGCCTCTGGAGTGGAGGATATAAGTGTGCTTCCTACTGGAAGAGAAGGTCTAGAGACCTCTGCCTCTGGAGTGGAAGATGTCAGTGGGTTTCCTTCTGGAGAAGAGGGTCTAGAGACTTCTACCTCTGGAATAGAGGATATCAGCAGGTTTCCTTCTGGAGAAGGTATAGAGACATCTGTTTCTGGAGGAGGGGATGACCTCAGTGGACTTTCTTCTGGAAGAGAGAGTTTAGAGACCTCAGCTTTTGGAGCAGAGGACCTCAGTGGGTTGCATTCTGGAAAAGAAGACTTGGTAGGATCTGCTTCTGGAGACCTGGCCTTTGGTCAGCTGCCTTCTGAAACTGTCGGAAGTGGACAAGCTCCAGACACAAGTGGTCTTCCATCTGGATTTAGTGGTGAGTATTCTGGAGTGGACTTTGGAAGTGCCCCATCCTCTGGCCTGCCTGACTTTAGTGGACTTCCATCCGGGTTCCCAACAGTCTCCCTAGTGGATTCTACATTGGTGGAAGTGGTCACAGCCACCAGTGCAAGTGAATTGGAAGGGAGGGGAACCATTGGCATCAGTGGCACAGGAGAAGCATCTGGGCTGCCCTTTGATGACCTGGACATTAGTGGGAGAACAAGTGGACTCTCTTCAGGAACTGAAGTCAGTGGCCAAGCATCTGGATCTCTTGACACCAGTGGAGAAACATCTGGATTCTTTGGTGTTAGTGGACAGCCATCTGAGTTTTCTGACATCAGTGGGGGAACATCTGGGATTTCTGAAGTCAGTGGGCAGCCTTCAGGATTTCCTTACCCCAGTGGGGAGACATCTGGAGTGACAGAGCTCAGTGAACTGCCCTCCGGACAACCAGATGTCAGTGGAGAAGCATCTGGAGTTCTTTTTGGCAGTGGCCAACCATTCGGTATAACAGACCTGAGTGGAGAAACATCCACAGGGCCTGATCTCAGTGGACAGTCATCAGGACTGCCAGAGGTCAGCGGGACAACACCGGGAATCCTTGACCTGGTTTCTGGTACTATGAGTGGCAGTGGGGAATCTTCTGGCATTACATTTGTGGACACCAGTGTGATGCAAGTGACTCCTACTACATTTAAAGAGGAAGAAGGCTTAGGATCCGTGGAGTTTAGTGGCTTCCCTTCCGGGGAGACGGATCTGTCAGGCACATCTGGGGGAGTGGACATCAGTGAACAATCTTCTGGAACAATCGATTCCAGTGGGTTTACATCCCCAGCTCCAGAACTCAGTGGCTTACCGAGTGGAGTAGCTGAGGTCAGTGGAGATTTCTCTGGAGCTGAGGCTGGGAGCAGTCTGCCCTCAGGAGCATACGATGGCAGTGGACTTCCATCTGGGTTCCCCACCATCTCTCTTGTAGACAGAACCTTGGTGGAATCTGTAACGCAGAGTCCAACCGCCCAAGAAGCTGGCGAAGGGTCTTCAGGCATTTTGGAACTCAGTGGTGCTTCTTCTGGAGCACCAGAAGTGTCTGGAGACCAGTCTGGATTTTTGGACCAAAGCGGGCTGCAATCTGGGCTGGTAGAACCCAGCAGAGAGCCACCGAGTACTCCATATTTTAGTGGAGACTTTTCCAGCACTGCTGATGTAAGTGGAGAATCCTCTGCAGCCACCAGCAGCAGCGGGGAGACCTCGGGACTTCCAGAAGTCACATTAATCACTTCTGAGTTGGTGGAGGGTGTAACAGAAGCAACTGTTTCCCAGGAACTCGGCCAAAGGCCCCCTATGACATACACACCCCAGCTTTTTGAGGCCAGTGGGGAAGCATCTGGCTCTGGGGACATTAGTGGAGCAACATCAACATTCCCTGGCCCTGGAGTAGAGGCATCGTCAGTCCCAGAAGGCAGCAGTGAGTCATCTGCCTATCCTGAGGCTGGCGTGAGGGCATCTGCTGTCCCTGTGGCCAGTGGAGAGGTGTCTGGGTCGCCTGATTCAAGTGAAACCACCTCTGCCCTCCATGAAGCAGATCTTGATCAAGCCTCAGGCCTAGGCGTAAGCAGCAGACCCTGGACCTTTCTGGGAGGCCCCCAGGAGGGGTCAGCTGCCCCAGAAGTGAATGAAAAGTCAATCACCACCTCCCAGGTGGACATAGAGGCCTCTAGCCCACCTTTGGCTACTGCTGTGGCTTCTGGGGACAGGACTGAAACCAGCGGAGAACTGTCTGTGCACAGCCCAGGGCTGGATGTCACCATCAGCACCGGCGCCCCAGAGACCCAGTGGACCCAGCACCCTGCAGAGGTGCATCTAGAAGTCGAGTCCTCAAGCCCTTTGTACTCGGGAGAAGAGACCCACACGGCTGAAACAGCCACCTTCCCGACAGACGCCACCGCTCCCACTTCGTCAGAGGGATCCGGAGAAGCAGAAACCTCCATGGCAGGTATTGTCGGGATCTTTACCTTTAACACATTGGGCCAGCCAGACTGTGGGCAGCTGCAGTGTAGCGGGAGACACACGTAGCTTTAAGGTTCCCAGCACAAATGATCTGCAGATTAGCTGTGCAGCTTCAGCAAGTCTCTGAGCCTCATTTGGTAAAATAAAATTTTAAAAAATCTCAGAGGTGCTTAAGCAGAACATAACTATACCAAAAGCAAGCATTTAGCATTGCACAGACTACACATTTATAAATTCCATCACTGTGAAATTACTCACCATGAGCATTGGGCTGGGTAAGGAAGGATGCCTAGCTAACGCTGAAAATTCTGCTCAGGCCCCATGCCCCCAGAGTGCGTTCAAGATAAGAGTGACTCTTCTGGTGGCATTTAGGTCCAAATATTTATTTTGTTTTGGGCTAAAACCTGCACAACCCAAGGAATTACAGTCATTTGGCTATGGCCTGACTGTCTCACTGCCCACCATCCCAGCCACCAGGAACCTGGCCTCAGTCGCTGCTATTTCTTAGCTTTCTGCGTGGGGGCGCTTCACGCCTCTCACTGTGCTGAGGGCTTTGCAGTCCCTGGGCACTCTCCCCTGGGGACTGCAGCCCCTGCCAGGTCCTGTGCAGAAAAGCCCTGTGGCACTGGGACCTGCCAGGAGACAGAGGAATGTGTCATATGTCTCCAGGTAAGACCCATGTCAACCATTAGACCACCTCCTTCCCAGAGGGGCCCACAGCAGGAGGAGGTGAGCAAGGCCAGCTGAGGCTCCAGCTTCAGGCTTCTTAGATTGGGAAGGAGAAGGGCACGGTGACAGAGACATCGGGGAGAGAAGTCACAGTGCAAACAGCACATCTTTCCAGAGCATCTAGTTAATGAGGAGTTCAGGAAAAAAAATTGTTAAATAAGTAGGTTGATGAGTAGTTTTCTAGCAAGCCAGTAACTATTGAATGAGTAAAGAACAAAGTATGCTTGTATTTTTACGCTAAAACTTGAGACTTCAAAGCAAGTTTGAGTTCGGAGTATGGTGGCCACACCCCTCTGTCCTTGGAGGAAACTCTCTGAGGGGCGCTCTCTTGCACTGTGCAGAAGGATCCCAACCAGAAAGTCCCATATGGCCTCTGATGCTTGGGTCTCAATGGGGTTTGGGTCCCCTTTTCCCTGCCAGAAAACCCCAGAGAACTTGTCACCAGCACTGGCATCTGTGGCCTTGGGTGGCAAGACCAGGGCAGGTTTCCCAGGGCGTCCACCACTCTAGAAGCTGTTGGGGCTTTGCTGTGGGTCAGGCAGCTAGTGGGGAAGGTAAGGAACCTGGGGACCCTCTGCCTGGAGCCACCCCAAAAATGTTCACTGTGCAGACTGTTCAAGGCTTGTGGCTATCTTTTCTCAACATCAGACGTTACCCAGTTGTCTCCAAGCTCATGTTGTCAGATTCACTGTCTCCGCTGCTTCAATGCCCTGATGCCCAGCCTCTCTCTGAAGCCTTTCATTAAAAAAAAGCTCCGTTCTGAGACACATACAAAAATGAACAGATCAGTCCTAGAGAGAAGAGAGTCATTGTCCAGTTTCCTAGGTAAACCCTGCCTAGCAAAGAGCCTTCAGTAACCCCTACATACAAGGGAGGGTTTGAAGTTTACATAAATTACTTAGTATGGTGCAAATACCTTTATATAATGTAAACACACCATGTGCTTCACACGTACATAGTATGTATACACAAACAGGCCGGGTAACCACCCACTCTTCTCCTCATTGGGGTCAGCCTCTGCCCACATCCAGGGCCAAAACCTGAGGACACTGTGGGTCTCCAAAAACAGAGGATGGACAGTCCTTACTGCCAGGGGGACAGTATGAGGTATTTTCACAAAATACAGTGAATTTTTAAAAAATTTTTTAAATACAGTAAATTTTAAAAATTATTATAGTAAAAGACACAAACTGTGTCTCCCTTATAATACTCCCTCTTGTTTCCAACACACCATCCCATCATTCTGACGACTATCTGAAGCAGGTCTGGGAGTCCTCTTTCAGGAGTGTCTTTAGTGGCACAGGGGTGGCTGCCTCAATGTCCGGAACTGATTCAAACTGTTCACCTTTCATGGTCATGTGGACTTTGGAAAGAGCCAGAAGGTGCACGGTATCAGATTCTATGACCAAGGTAGATAAGGACACCCCCTAGTGTTTTTACTCCGCGGAAATCAATGCAAATGGTTTGAACTGATTCAGGACATCAAGGCAGCCACAAAAAGACACTTAGGAAGGAGGATGTCCAGAAGTGCTTCCAAAAGTGCCATAGTGATGGAATAAGCGTGCTCCAGGTAGTGGAGTATTTTGAGGGGAGTTCATGCCATGTGTCTTTTACTGTGATACTTTTTCATTTTTATTTGAATAGTCACCATATTTTTATCATACTTTGTATTTCCACTGGGCTGTTGCGGCCCCAGGGGCCATGGCCTGGGCCACTCCATGCCACTCAGTAACTCCATTCTGAGCAACTCCTTCCCAACCTGGTCAGTGAGGCAAAAACATGATACCGGTATCAGAAACCCTAACACGGCTCAGATCTTGACAGCCCAAAGTTAATAAAAGCAGGTGACATAAAATTTACCTCTTCCATTGTAAGAACAGCCTTTCTCTGATCATGTGTATTCCATTTTCTTCCCCAACAGCGTGTAGGAGCCACGATCTCAGTACACTGCTTTAACACACTTGGCTAACTAAGAAACACTCTCTTAAACGTAATAATTGCTGGTCTCAGGAATCTGACACCAGATTTCCAAGGAGTGAGAAGGGAAGGAGGCTGTAGAATCAGCGTTAATCTTGTTCAAACTCTCAGGCAGGCCCTCGCTCTGCTCTCTTATCAGTAGATACCCCTGGCGGTGGTTTTCAGTTTTTAAAAAATTATACCTAGGACAAATTGTAACACCATGGAGTATCACAGAAAGCGTTCTGTGGACTTTGGCATTGGAGATTTTTAAAATCCCAGGTGAAGTTAGGCATGGTGGTGCATGCCTGTAATTCCAGCACTCTGGGAGCCGAGACAGGAGGATCACAAGTTCAAGCCTCCCCTGGGCAACTTAGTGAGACCCTGTCTCAAAATAGAATACTAGAAAGGTTGAGGATGTAGCTCAGTGTGAAGGCCCTGGATTCAATCACAGTACTAGGGAAAAAAAAAAAGGCCCTGGATCATCATCCTCCAAGAGTCACAGATGGAAAAAAGTATTATTATTATTATTATTATTATTATTATTATTATTAAAATATTCAAGGAAATATTCACCCAATAAAGGAGTTAACAGCTGTATTTAATCCTAGAAGAAAACATTTGACAGTTACTCTCATCTTGTTCTGCCAGTATTCCATAAACTAGTTCTTGGTAAATTATTAATCAGTACTTGTTACTTCAAAATGATATCTGCTTAATGAGTAGTCAGATTCCATAGCAATGAGAGGCAGGACTGTGCTTTTCTGGCCCACTGTAAAAGCAGCAGCAGCTTCCTGCCATCCTCTGCTAACAGCGCCCAGAGAGCTTAGAGTCAGGTTTCAGTCCTGGTCCTGCTGAAAAATCACCTGGCGCCTGGGGTGCTTTTAAAAAGCACCGTGTGCTGGGCATGGTGGTGCACGCCTGTAATCCCAGCACTCAGGAGGCTGAGGCAGGAGGATCACCATGAGTTCAAGGCCAGTCTGGGCTACATAGTGAGACCCTGACTTAAAAGAACAACAGCAACAAAAGCATCATCCCTGGCCCTGTCCTGAGATATTTTGAGTCATCTGGTCTGGTGAGGGGTGCTAGTGTTGACTTTTTTAAAAAACACAATCTTTTTTAAAAAAATTTTTTAACTATTATAATAATGACAATGTATAGCCAAGATTTTAAAACACTATTCTAACCACACCTGATACCCAACCCTGAGCCATCGATTCTGTGTTGGTTTCTTTTAACCCTGGATTATAAGAAATAAACTTAAAACTTAGCCCCTTTCTATTTCACTCCCACTTTTCCTTTCCAGGTTTGGAGATCTGATTTTTGATCTGACACTCTTTCCCACTAGAGGAGACATCCGAATTTCAGTGAAATCTTTATTTCTTTAAAGCAACTTTTTAAAAAGAGGGAGGGAAAAAAGACAATGTATCCAGAGATGGACAGAGACCACCAAAAAAATCTTCAGCATTTCACAGTACTAATAAATGTCTGAAAGTTAATGGTCACCACTTTGAGCACCTCTTATCATTGTAGGGGCCAAAGGTAACTTGGGTTAAGCTCATCATGTCTCAGTAAATTTAGTGTTAAAATATCTGTGCAACTTTTTCTTTTCTGATCTATGTATTTTTAGCTCATATTTTTCTGTCTGTAGTGAATACTAGCCCCAGCCCATTTTTATTTTGAGACAGGATTTTCCTAAGTCACTAAGTTGCCCTGGGCTCAAACCTGTGATCCTCCTGCCTCAGCATCCCAGAGGGTTGAGATTACAGATATGCATCACCACATTTGTTTTATAGATTCTTGACTTAACCAAAAATCTATCAGCAGATTTTAACGGATACCTAATTAAATTTAAGATCCAAGCTATTTAAATGAGATCAACCTCTAAAATGTAGAAGAATTGAAATAGTATAGATACTAACATATTCCCTGATTTAATGATATTTATTTTAAAAGCAAATTGGGACTGACAAATACATTACTAGTGTAAATATACTCAGCCTAAATAAACTCTTCTCTCAGTTGTGTAAGAGGCTCAACCAGGAAGTTAGTATATCTAGTCCAGTCTCTCCAGAATGACTGATCCTAGGTTTTTGCGGGAGGCAGAATATCCATTGAATTAAAACATTTTATCTGTGCTTCTTGAGGAGATTTACCCCATCCTTGTCCTAGGAAGTTATGGCCAAGGTCATCATAAACAGCTGCATAGGTTGTGCACTGAATAACTTGGATAATACGTTCATGCAGAATTCTCTGTGGATGGCAAACCATTCTTATGAATGGCTTGAGTAAAGCTACCTGCTGTCACTCTCCATTCACTTTTCCTAGGAGCCCAATAAACTCTTTCTCACCTGAAGGTCCTAGGCTCTGATTCAGGCAAAAACGATGTGACTATTCCAGGTGGAGGTCTGAGGTCTCTAAGTCAGATGCCAAGGTGATTATTTGCAAGCATCTCTCCTCCTTTGGCCTCTCCCAGGGGTCGCTCTTGGTTATTTTCTCTTCTACACTAGAAATATGGCTGTTCGGGTCTTGTTCAGGCACAAACTGTGATTTTCAGTTATCTATTGTGAAGAGGGCCCCCCCCCCAGCACTCTGACCCTGCCCTGAGTCCCTGCTCGGTGATGACGGTGATGATGGGTGAGCCCTTGGTGGCTGTAGCAGAAACGGTAACAGGTGCTGAGTATCCAGAGCGCCTGGATCCCCCACCCCCACCCCAACCCCAGGTGGAACAAAGGCCAGATGTTCCCTATCGGTATCCATATCCTGACTCCTCCATCGCTTCTGACCTTCACTTAGTGTGATGATGTCTGTACCTCTGAGCCCTTGCGAGTCAGCAGCATCTGCTCAGATCCTGGTCCTTGTGCCCTTCCTCCCTTCCTGCACAAAGTCTGCCCATGCCCAAAGCCCTTCTCTCCTTGACCTGCGGTCCCTTTGTCTGAAACCGCCCAGTGTGCACTCACCACTGGACTTAGCTCAGCCCCTCTCTTGGTCCTGGAAGCAGAGGGATGGTCCCACTGCCCTTCACAAAAAGAGATGGGCAGCCAGGTCCAGAGTGGCTCTTGCAGCCAGAGGAAGAGGAGATGAGGTGCCACTGGCCCGAGCAGCTAAGGAGAAAGACCCCAGGATACAGGCCCCCTCTGCACGGCTGAAGGTTCAGACTCAGCCCCTCTAAAGTGACTCAGTGGTACTCCCAGGCTCTCTGGTCTTCAGGATGCTGGCCCTGCCTTCCCGCCTCACCTGTGAATCCAGGGCCCTGCAAAAAAAAACAACTTCTAAGGCCAAGAGTTGGTTCCTTCAGTCCTCACAGCCTTCTCAGGGTACAGATTTGTACCCTGGCCAGCCACAGGAGGACACAGCACTGCCCCCCTCCCTCACCCCCAGGACCTTGTGCTGCCTGTGGTTGGGCAAGGCATAAACTCCAAACCTCTGGAACACCTGGAAGCCACCTGGCTGGACCTCACACCTTCCCGTGGGTCAGCCAGGAACCCCGGGTTGATGTCTGACACTTCTCCCCAGAGGCCACCCCTGTCCCCTGCTCTGTACAACTGCTTGAGCACCTACATTTGCTTAATTCCCCTCGCCAAGTGCTTTCCATCTCCTATAATGACACTAATGGACAAAAGAGGACATAGCTTTCCTGAAACAGGAGAGCTGCAGCTTCACTCTGCCAATTGACCTGACCTATTGCTGCTACTGCTGCTGCTGGGAATCCTGGTGCATGCTGGGACTCCAAGTGCATGCTGGGATTTCAGCCAGTTCCTCCATGCATTTTGGGTTTGCTTGGAACAGTTCCAAACTTGGAACTGTTGGTTTCTAATCCGAGGTATGCACTCCATGAAATAAAGCCAAGGACTTAAAGAAAAGAGAGAACCGGGGATCAGGAGCTTCGTGGGACAAGATGCCTGACAAACAGGGATTTGAGGGGTATCACCCACTGCACAAACCTAAGATATCGACTACCAACAAGTGTGAAGATCCAGAAGGAAAGATGTTTGCCATCCCATCAAAGGCTTGACTTGAAGGTTTGGTTTGCTCTATGGGAGGCAAGAACTAATTGTGGAACGTATTTAGGACTCAGACGTTCTATTCCCAAAACAGGCTGAGTGGAGATCACCCGTAGGCATCCCCTGGCACAGCTCAGCAGCATACACCAAGGTGTAGCATCTTCCAGCTGCGTATCTAGATGCCCCATACACCTGTGGAGCCTGCTTGTTGCTGAATTTTATTGATCTCCTGGCAAAAGGAGCTGCATAATACCCTTTATCATGGTTCCAGGGGAAGAAACCCAGGGGAAAAAACAGCAAGAGCTTTGGAGCACAAGAGCTTTGAATCACAAATACAAAGACAGAGCATAATATACATTTCAAGGCATTCTGGATTCTCAAAAAGATGCAGAAAGACCGAACTAAAGGCACAGTTCTTGGCTATTTGAAGTAAAGGCCGATGACTTACCAGTTCAATTCCTGCTGAGAAGTTTGACTAGAAAGAACATCTTGGGTCCAGAATACATGGAACAAGGAGCCAGAGGAAGCGGCTGGCGGGAAGACTGTATCCCAGCCCACCGCTGGGGGGCAGCCACCTGCTAGACACCTGGCCAGCTTCAAATGCTTGCCATCCATTGGCCAGGATGGAGCGGATTTGGACATTTTAATTTAGAAGTCTAAAGGATCTCGTGTGAATATCCATTGCCTCATGGATCTGTGCTCTGCAGACCCTTTTCAGGTTGCTTATTGAGTCCCTGGTTCACATCTACAGGGGAAGCGGGGAAGGAAGACCTTCAGTGAAGCTTCAAGAATTTGCCTCCCAGTGTCCTTGCCTACTATCACGGTCATGGCCACTTTACACTCCGGCGTCTTAAAATACAAGAGAAAGTACCTCGGAGGAATGTCATAGTGTCCCTCTGTGAAGCCTGGCGCTGAGGCACTAAGCTTGCCAAGCAGGACGCACACATCCGAGGTCCTGGTCCTGGATCCTTGGTTCAGCATGTTTCCAGATGGTGGCAGCAGCAGTAGCAACAGTTCCCAGGAAAACCAGCCAGTCCCCTTCTGGTTCTCTGGAGCGTAGCAGGGCTGGCCACTCATAAGGAAGCCACATTGCTGTGAGGCTGGATTGACGGCAGGAGTCCTAATGGTGGCCCTTGGTTTCTTGCAGACATTGATGAGTGCCTCTCAAGCCCTTGTCTGAATGGAGCCACCTGCGTGGACACCATGGACTCTTTCACATGCTTATGCCTTCCCAGCTACGGAGGGGACCTGTGTGAGATCGGTACGGCCGTCTCGGCTTCAGCTAATGTTACTAATTGCTGCACCCTCCTCCTCCTCCCTTACCCATTTTTTTTTCCTAATAGCAGGATCTAGGCCCCAGCTGGGCACCTAGGTCCATCTGAATAGCCATTCAGGAGCCACAGCTGAGACATATGTCTGCCCCCACTGATTCCCTCTCTTTGACTGTAGTCCTTGAAAACCCTCCTCCAAGCATAGACCCCAGGAGACGCCCAGGCCGGGCTTTGGGAACCTTTAAGACACTAACCTTCTCCAGGGCTTGCAGACTTTCTGAGGCCACCAGCGAGCCTGGTGCATGTGTCAGACTAAGAGGACCCAGCTGATTTCCTACTTGTGTTTGGATAGAAGCTGTGGGTGGGAGCAATCGGTTCTCATTCCAGTGTCAGCCACAGATCTTCCCAGCGTGGTCACAGGCAGTGTCTGCCTGCTGTGTTGCTATGGGACTTGTGTGGGCCCTCCTCATGTGGGCACCATCGTGCCACCCTCACCAAGTTGCCTTCCTGGTTGGTCTGCTAAGAGTACTCATGTCACCAGCATGCTCAAGTCATGCATGAACAGGGACTATTGCATGTCACCTTCTCTTCATGTCATGACACCTGTCATGTCGACGCCATGCGTGCCTTTCTTCCTCTCTTCCTTCCTTGTACAGGGCAAAGGTCCAGGGAGAGAGAACACAGTGTCACTGCAAGGAACAGGCCTAGCGCCCTGGTGCTGAATCCTAGGGACTTCCCAGCTCAGGAGAGGGCAGATAGGGCTTTGAGGTGCTGGGAGCCATGGCCCATACAGAACAGAAAGTTCAGAAAGCAGAGGCTCGAAGCCTTGTTCAGTGAACTCTCAATGCCAGAAATGCCAGAAACCCAGAAAGCAGCTGGGAATTCTCCCTCCGGGGTCAAGCAGTGTGAGACTATAGTGCAAATGGCACGTTCCCGGAGGCCCTGCCAAGATGGAGAAGCTTAAGGCTTCTGGAAGAAGAGACTTGGGCACCCCCTGGCCTTGCAGCCTTCCACCCTCTGTCTTTACCCCAAGATCTTAAGAAATTAGTGCATGGGTCTCAGCTGGGCTGGGAGACGGGAGCTGTATAGGTTTCTCCCCAGGATACCAAAACAGCGGCCAAAGGGGATAAGAGTCTGCAGTGTCCACACAGAACAGCCCTGGGGCTCCTGCCTGGGAGACAGGGGCTCTGCACCCTGATGGAGCAGAGAGACACTACTGGAGCCCCAAGCTGGCCCTGGCCTGGGCACCTGTGAAGCAGGATCGCATCCTGTCCCCACTCTACAGTGCCCATGCCTTAGCCCTAGCCTCACTGATCCTTCCAACATCCCCAGAGCTTGTCCCCAGAGCTCACTCCTGCATGGCCCTGTCCAGCCACCCACAGCAGCCCCACCACTCGCTCTGCCTGCCCAGCTCACCCGTCCGCCACTGAGGCGGCCCGGAAACCAACACCCCTCCACACCTGGGCAGTCTAGCACAGCAGTGTGTCTGTCCTCATGGTGCTGAGCTACCTCAGAGATCTCCCCACCTCTTCCCAGCTCTTGCAACCCCCTGAAGGAGGGCACTGGTAGCGAGAGGACCCTACAGCTCTCCGACCCCCAAGCTGTTCCACCAGCTTCTCCTCAGGCTCCTGGCCTCTGCTTCCTCTCTTCCCATCCCAGATGTCTGTGCCACGCTGGCCAGGCATCCACTACATGGCCTATGGCTCCTGTGTGTCAGGCCCGGGGCCTTCCTCCCTGAGACTCCCAAACACTGGTGGCCCCTATGGGAGGGGACCACACATCCTCGAACGTCCATGGCTCTACACTGAGCCCAGGGCCCTGCACACCGAGGTGCCAGGGGAAGCAGGGAGGGAGGGCTTGTGTTCCCTCTGTTCTGTGCTGCCCTGGCAGATGTCTAATACTTGCCTCTCACAGAAGAAAAGGGCCCTGATTGGCAGCATCTGCTAGTCCCTGGGGGAAAAATAAATACTCCCATCAGGGCCAATTTAAAACTACGAGTGTGGTGTCGCCAGATCTTAGACTGCTCTGAGCCCTCTGAATTAGTCCCATTCCCAGAAAGGAAACCCTCTACCAAGTTAGACACTCTCCCTTCTCCCCATCTCCCACCAAAATATGAAATAACAACTGTGTGCCCTCTAAGAAGTAGGCACAATGTGCCCAGCCAGGGCCACCTCTGATCTGTGGCTCTAGAGCTCTGAGTCTTCTTTGAACTCTGGGTCCTCACCCAAGGTTCTGCGGGAAGGAGGCTGCCAGCTCTAGTTCATGCCAGCCCTGCCCCTCCTGCCACTGCCCCCCACCCCAGATCCTGTCTCTGGAGCCCCTCAGAGCCTGTGTACCACACGTACCTTAAATCCTGTAATCCCACCTTCCCACCTCTCTTGAGCTGGCCTGCTGACTCTGCTGCCCTCCAGAGCAGGCATCTGCAGGAGGAGAGCTTGAGATGTGGGGGTCACATCTCAAGGCCCCTGCCTGGCAAGCGTGAGGTCCTGAGTTCGATTCCTGGTAACCAAAAAAGAAAGAAAGAAATGTTGGCTGAGACATGGGGGTCAAAGAGAGGGAGGGCCAGTACCACATCAGGGAGGGAAATGGTCCCCAGCACTTCCCAGAGGTGGGGCGTGCTCAGAGTACCCTAGGGGCCAGGTCTCATGGCTGCCAACGTGTACCTGGCTCCAAGGCATGGCATCTCAGGTGGGATGAATATAGGCCATAAGATTGGCTGCATCATATGCCCAGCTGGCCTCAGAGCCCTCTTCAAGGCCTTCGCCTGTGTTGCAGACCAGGAGGTATGCGAGGAGGGCTGGACCAAATTCCAAGGCCACTGCTACCGCCACTTCCCTGACCAGGAGACCTGGGTGGATGCCGAGAGGCGGTGTCGGGAGCACCAGTCACATCTCAGCAGCATCATCACCCCTGAGGAGCAGGAGTTCGTCAACAGTAAGTGTGGAGAACCTCCGGAGACTGGGGCCCCTGATTGTCAGATGGTAGCAGATGGGACTGGCAGTGTAGCTCAGTGGTAGAGCACTTGCCCAGCATGCATGAGGCCCTGGGTTCCTCCCCAGCACTGCTAAACCAATAAAAGAAAACTTGGCACACTGGGTCCAGGGAGACCACAGGGGCGGGGGCTGGGAGGCCTGAGTTCCCCGAAAGAACATAGAGGTCTTTGGGGTCACTGGCTTTGGCCATACCCAGGACAGCCCTCTGGCGGATAAGAGCAGTCCCAGGAAAAACCTTGTGGTTGTCACCAGTTCATGCCAGCCTGGGGCAAGGGGGTCCAAAGTACACACACACACATGTGCTGAGACCCTTCCACTTCCTCCTCCACCCTCTCCTTCTTCATGAGTTGTAGTCCTCAGACATCCCCAGGTGTCCAACCTCAGGTCACAACCCACCTTTCCTCTCCAGGAAATGCCCAGGACTACCAGTGGGTTGGCCTGAATGACAGGACCATCGAAGGAGACTTCCGCTGGTCAGATGGACACCCCTTGGTGAGTTGTATCAGGTGCACCAGCCACAGAGCAGAGGGAGGTGGGAAAAAAAAGAGAGAGAGAGAGGGAGAGAGACCTCCAAACATGCAGACACTGCCTGAGCAGCCACTGGAGCAGTGTGGCTCCTACCCCTCTGCTTCTGGGGAGCAGCACCAGGCTGGGCAGGTTGAGCAGCGGCACGAGGCCAGGGAGAAAGCCAGGAGGGCGATGAATGACTGACAGCAAGCCACCAAGAGGGTCCAGAGACGCATGAGAGGTTCCTTGCCATGAAGAACTCATGTCTACATGAGACAGACAGAAACACACATGCCCAGTGGGCAGCATGAGCATCAGTGCTGCCCAGCAGTGAAGGGCTGTCAGGGACCAACCCCTTGGGGTCTGGGCTCCTGCAAAGGGCTGGGGCCAACTGTGTAAGCAGCCCCTGGGCCCACAGCTTCCATGGCCGTAGCACAACCCTGGCCACAAACCTATCAGCCTCACTACTGCCAGACGAGCCAGAGGTTGGGCTGAAAGAGAAGGCAGACAGGAGAGGCTGGCTGGGGAAGGGCATGGGGGACAGGTCGCCTTGTTGCTCCCACCCACCCCTCACCCCTTCCCACTCCTGCCCACAGCAATTTGAGAAGTGGCGTCCCAACCAGCCCGACAACTTCTTCACCACGGGTGAGGACTGCGTGGTGATGATCTGGCACGAGAAGGGCGAGTGGAACGATGTCCCCTGCAATTACCACCTGCCGTTCACATGTAAAAAGGGCACAGGTAAGGAGGGCAGAGGTCTGAGTGGGGAACCAAGACTCCAAGGGCCTCTTCCTAGGTGACCGGGGGCAGTCCCCTGGCCTCCCAGCGACTGGGCTCTGTGAGGACATGCCCTCCCAGCACTGGGGATGGAGCACGGGTCCTGAGACCCGGAGCTATATCCCCACCCTTTGTTTCATGCTTTACTTTGAGACAGGGTCTGGCTCAGTTACTAAGTTGCTCAGGCTGGGCTCACATTTACACTTTTCCTGCCTCAGCTTCCCAGGAGGCTGGAATTGCAGGCGTGCCAGGTTTATGGGGCCATCTTTACAAAGCAGATGGGATGAGAAGTGTGACCTGGTGGCCTCTTCCAGAACAAGCAACCCAGGGCCAATGGCAAGGGCCAGCTCACTCCTAGGGACCATTCACAAGAACTGCAAGCAGTGAAGATTCCAGGCTAGAGGACAGGATCTCCGCACACATGCACACCACATATCACCCTAGAGGCCAGCTGGGCCAGCAGCCGCCTCTCTCTGGGGATCCCTTTGTCCATCAGTCACGGAATCAGAATTGTCAGGCTGTAGGTCTGCAGACAGGGATAACTGATGGGACATGCCCACCTCCTACTCTGTCTCCAGACCTCTTTCCTTGGTCCTGGGTGTTTTCATAAGGAAACTACTGCCTGGCTCTCCCCTCTCTCTCCACCTTTCTTCCTTTTATCTGGTACCCCGCTGCCAGGCCACATCAGAGACCAACTCAGACTTCAGACCCCAGGGCCCCGGATTCTTGCAGGGAATCAGGGCTCGCCGCTGGGGGGCGCTCAATGCCCTTCCCGCAGCACCCCGGGGCACAGACCACAGGGTCATCGCAGAAGCCCCAGAGGCCCCTTCTAAAAGGGTGTTTGCTCCTTAGTGGCCTGCAAAGACCCCCCTATGGTGGAGCACGCCAGGACCCTGGGGCACAGGAAGGACCGGTATGAGATCAACTCCCTGGTGCGGTACCAGTGCACGGAGGGCTTTGTCCAGCGCCACATCCCCACCATCCGGTGCCAGCCCAGCGGGCACTGGGAGGAGCCTCGAATCACCTGCACAGACCGTGAGCACACCCACCCCCCTGGCCGGGCAGTGTCCCTCCCGCTCCCCAGAGCACAGCCCTGACCTGCTACTCCCTGAGGATCCTTGCAGTCCCTGGGATTAAGCCAGGACAGGACGGAGGTCACAGATCACTGGCCTCTGCCCCAGGAGGGAGGATGAAAGAGCACAAGGGTGGGTCTGCTTCCCTTTCCACCCTCGGGCTCTGGTGAAGCTCCAGGCTTTCCAGGGAGGGGCGCCAGTGGAAGGGGACAGACTGGGGGTGCCAGGGCTTGGCCCCACCTTCCCAGCTCACCGGCCTTTCCCGTGCCCTTGTGCTCCAGCCACTACCTACAAGCGCCGACTACAGAAGCGGAGCTCCCGGCAGAGCCGCCAGCACTTGGGCCACTGAGAGGAGCTTCAGGGACCACCCAGGACGCTGAGCCCAGGAGCCCACCAGGCGGACCAGACTGCGCATCCCCCCACCCGATGGTGTCCTCTTCTTGTTGCTTTTTATCATTTAAGGAATCCCATTAAAGAAGGAAAAAATAAACCCCACATTGTGTGTGCACCCACCAGCCCCCAAATCACCAAAACCACATCTAATTTGTCCCCCGAATGCCAAAGCAAAGCGAGCTCATCGCACCCTCGGACTGAGTTTAGAGACATTTCTTCAGTTTCCCATCGTGCCTTTCCAGGGACCAGCGCAGGGACAGGGGGAGAAGGGAAGGGGTTAAGTTAAATAAAGAAGATTATTTTTTGTTTCCTGATTGTATCCAAGAGCAGTGCAATGGTTGGTTATTTCACCTCCAGGGAGAGCTAAGGTGGAGGGAGGGGGTGGCAAGGAGCTGGAAGGGGCAGAGGCCTGAGGCCAGGACTCAGACCCTATGACCACAGCTGAATGTAAGGGACACAGAGAGCCAGGAGGGTCACATCATCTGTGACAACAGAAGCCCCGGGAGCCAGCAAGGAGAGAGCCACACCGGAAGGACCTTCTGCAACATTGGGGTCACCTCCCTCCAAGGGTCCCCCTTCCAGTGTCCTCTCACCCAGTCAGCCACCCTAGCAGGTGTCATCTCTCTGCAGGGCTGGGTGGGGACACATCCTTCCCAGGGGTGCTGCCCCCCCCTCCCCCACCCTCGGGACGGTGCAGGCACCAGGGTTCCGTGCACCTATTTATATTTTTGAAAACTAAAGATTATGATAATTATAATAATAAAGACATTGGAAGAGATCTATTTCCTTTCTTTTCCCTTTTTTCAGTTTGAGGAGTGGGCAGACCACAATCTGAGGCCTACAAAAGGTGCTCTCTGGAAACATGGCCATGGGGACACATTTTGATCACCTCACATGAGCATGACTCCTGTCTGTTCAGAGTCCAAGACGGCTTCATCTGCTCATCTTTGCAAGAGTGACAGTGTGTTGGATGGGTTATCTGCAAACGTGTGTGTGTGTGTGTGTGTGTGTGTGTGTGTGTGTGTGTGTAATATATGATGTGTTCAAGTGTGCCAAGTGTGCCTGTCACATGCATGATGCAGGTCAGTCCTCGGTGCTGTGTGGATTTGCAAAGGAGTAACTCCAGGGCGACCTTGGCGGCTGTGTCTCATTTTATTCTTTGATGGCACACTGTTCACTGCCATGAGAAGAGTAGCTTGGTAACCTGAGTCCAAAAGCAGAGCAGAACACCAGGATTTGAAAGAAGTGCAAAAGTAAACCACAGACAGTGCAGAACAGTGGGTCTTGCTTTCAATCTCAAGGGCACACTGCTATCGGCTGGAGCAGACAGCTGCAGCGTCCTGCCCTGCCTGGGACATCCGTGAAACCAGTCTTGGGTGTTTGTGGACCGTCCCCAAACCTGAGAGCTCAGCGGCAGCATGCAGACCAGGGAGTGGCTTCTCCCAGGGCCACTCTCAGGGTGCTTCCCTCATCATGGGTGCTCTGTACGCCTGCCAGGTGTTGCCAGAGCCTGCTGGCGCTGGTCTGTGCGAGCTCGTTTCTTCTCAGGTGCAGCTGTGCATATGACTGCGTACTGGCTGGTGTGACCAGTTACAGCTGTGGAAGGATCCCAGTGGGCAAAGGAAGGAAGACCCCAACCAAATAGAAAGGGCTCAGTAATTATGTGATTCATGTGTATGTTAAACTGATTTACAAGTGTTTCTTTAAAATACCACAAATCAAAAACAGAGCCAACCATGGTGTTGCATGCCTGTAATCCCAGCACTCTGCAAGGCTGAGGAAGGGCATTGCAAGTATTGACATACTGTGTCAAAATATTAAAAAAAGTTTAAGATTAAAAAGAAGACTGGGGATTGGGGATTTAACTCAGCAGCACAAGCACCTGCCTGGTGAGCATGAGGTTGTGAGTTCAATCCCCAGTACCCAAAACAAAAAAAAAAAAAAAAAAAAAACAAGAAGGCTGGGGGTGTAGCTCAGTGCAAAGCCCTGACTTCAAGCCCTAATCTCTTTCTTTCTCTCTCTCTCTCTCTCTCTCTCTCTCTCTCTCTCTCACTCACTCACTTTTATGGAGGGTTTGGAGTATAGCTGACCGTTGGAATGATTTCCTGGGTTTGATTTCAAGCACTACAAAGGAGAAACAGGAAAAAAAACAGAAAATATATTTTCAGTTTTGGGTTTTTTGCAGTAATGAAGATTAAACCTAGAGGTACTCTACACAGAGATATAGCCCAACCCTTTTAATTTTTAATGTTAATTTTCAGACAGAGTCTCCCAAGATTGCCCAAGCCAATTCACTATCCTCCGGCTTCAGCCTCCTCCAGTGCTGGGAATACAGGTGTGCATCACGTCCTGGGAGGAAAATGCATTTAACCCACCTTCCCACCAAGGACCAGCGCTTAGACAGTGCGCTGGAGAACACCCCCTGTTCCTGCTGGGAGCTACGATGGTCACTGAGTCCAGCACTTCGAGAGGACTGGTCTAGTCCAGAGACAGGATCAAAATTACAAATTCCAGGCAGGATTTCTGCTGGATGTTCATCGCATTCATGCCATCTGCTACAGTTTGGATCCTGAATGCTGCCAGAAAGCCCCTATGTTACAGCTTGGCCCCCACAGTAACGCTATTCCAAGGTGTTGTAAACCTGTGGGAGGGGAGGGTCTTTGGGGAGGTCCTCGAGTCACAAGACGATGGCCTTTGAGGGACGGACTCTAGCTTCTTGGTGTTTTCTGCCTTGCCACATCCGCCAGTCCTGATGCACCGCCTCATCAGAGGTCCAAAGCAACAGAGTCACTTGATCTTGACTGGAGCTGCCCAAACCATCAGCCCAAACAAGCCAGTTCTCGATCCAAGTTAATTATCTCAGCCAGGTGCAGAGACGTACACTGCAACCCAGCCACTAGGGAGGCTGAGGCAGGAGCATTACAAATTCATGGCCAGCCTGGGCAAGTCAGCAAGATCCTTTCTCAAAATAAAAAATTAAAAAGGGGGTACTGGGATGTAACTCAACACTCCCTGAGTTCAATCCCCAGTACTGAAGAAAAAATCATTATTATAGGTATTTTGTTGTAGCGACAGGAAACTGACTAGAAAAACAAAAAAGCACCTAAGTCACACCCCTGTATGGCAGGGACCAACTACAGCTGTTACGTGCTGTAGTTTTAAACCTGAACGTGCACCAGAATTCCCTGGATGGTTGGTGGTTAATGCAGAGTATGGGGCCCAAGTTGCTGACTCTGCAGGTGTGGGTGAGGCCTAGGAATTCGCAATTGTAACAAATTCTGAGTGCTGCTGAGAAGCACCAGGCCAAGGAAAATAGACTGAAGTGGCTAAACACCGGTGCAGGCAGGAGACGGGCTTCCTAGGTAGAGATGGGGAGGTGCAGAGAAGGCAGTCTTAAGGGCCCAGCCTCCTGTCTCCTAAGAGACACCTCCCGCTGTTCTGCTGGGACCCTCAGACATATGGCAGCAGCATACAAGCTAGGGCCCCATTTGCTGGGCCAGTCTTGGCAGAACCGAGTCAGTCCATGGAGTTCTCTACCCACCCACCCCTAGAGCCCAGGACAAAACTGAACCCACTACATACCCAGAGAGCTAAGCCCTGAAACTGACCAAGACACGGGGAGCCAGGGCCACAGGGGGCCACAGCACCATTTATTAGCCAAAGAAGACATTACACCGGAAGGCCTCCCCCTGAACAAGGAAACATGAACAGATCCTGGACCCAGAAGAGGGTAGAGGAGAAGGAATTTCACCAGAAGCCTGGGGAGCCACTCTGGCAATGAAAAAGACCCCTACTCGCCCTCCCCAGACCGTTTGCCTCCCCAGGCTGAGGCAGAGTGACAGCTGCAACCAACCTGAGCCGCAGCCCGTGCAGGGCATGGAGACAGCCTGGACTGTAATGGCAGAGACCCCTCTGAAAGCCCACAGACCACAAATGTCCCCAAGCGGGAGAGCCCAGGGAGTCCAAGGCCAGTACAAGGAGTTGGGAGTTGCTATTACCAACAAATAATACTTCTACAATTTAAGTTAAGTATAAAAAAAAAAATACAAAATGTGCTCCAACCACAGGGGAAAAGGAACCAGTCCATAAATACAGAGCTGGGAGGGCAGGGTCTGCAGAGCTGGCGTGGCTTAGCGCTGGCGGTGGCAGTAGACACCATGGCGACTCTGTGGGTCTGGGAAGCCGAAACTCCGCACGCCGGGCTCTGGGGGCCCGCAGTTGGGGCGGGAGTGAGCCACTGGGTAGCGGGCACTGCCATCTGCCAACCAGCCAGCATCACAGCGGTCCAGGCCACGGAACTTCCAGGCGGCAAAGAGCTGGCCCACCTTGGCAATGTGGGCGCCGTCCTCCCGGCAGGCCTCTCGGGCCTCTGCCAGGGTCAGCTTCTCGGGATGCTCCAGGTAGTACACCTGCCCTGGGGGAGAGCGAGCGTGAGTGCCGGCCATCACGGGGGGACAGCCACTGAAGACAGGGGCTGCAGTAGCTGAGTCCAGGCAGCTACATGCTGGGGGGGGGGGTCTACAGTGGACTTTGGGGAGCACCATCCCAGGCCCCGTCCAACCTTCCCACCACCCCATCTGCCATGGGGCTGGAGCTCCTCCTCTGCCACCCTTCCCTGAATGCTCCAACATGGGCAGGGCCCCTAAGTGTCTCTCAGGCATTCAGTCACTTACTGAGCACCCAGTATGTGTCAGAGACTTTTCCAAGGTCTTGGGTCAGCACAGAGCCAATGTTGGGTGCCATATGTTTACCTTTCAACGAACTGTGTTATGGGCACAGAAGTGTTTTGTTTATCTATGACACCCCAGAGCCTAGGCAAGGCCCTGCTATAGGACAGACACTCAGAAAGCATTTGATAAATGAATAAACCAAGGTGACCAGAAGCAGCAGCTTCAAGGACCTCTAAACTCCACACGGGCCATTTTCTGACTGGCTGGTCCTCCAGACCTCTGGGCGAGGGTCCAGTGGGCAGGCAGAAGGCCCCCAGGTCCCAGATGGCCACCCACCCACAAACCTGGGCTCAGCCACCCCACTCACCCTTAAGGGCAGCGGTGAAACAGAACACATCATAGCGGTGCAGGCGGCGGTGGCGGAGACCATAGCTGCGCATGCCTGGTGCCAGACCCAGGCCCCCACAGGGCTCCCGTGGCAGGGTGATAGGGTACTGCACAGAGCCATCCTGCAGCCAGCCAGCATTGCACCAGTCCAGGCCCTCCTCCCAGGCACGAAAGAGCTGCTCAAAGGAGGCCACCACTGCACCCTGCTCCTCACAGGCCTGCTGTGCCTCGTGGAAGTTAAGCTGGTAGCGGCCTTGTCGGGGCTGGTAGGGAAAAACCACACCTGGGGAGGGGAAAAGAGGGGCTGAGAGGGCAGATGGGCAGCAACAGGCAAGAGAAACTTCGTCTGTATCCTCTTACAGCTGCTCCTCAACACTTGAGCTACCACTGAGTTCCTCCCCCATCAGGTCTGCAGCAAAGTTAGATTCCTCTAAGAGCAAAAACCCTCCTGGGAACTGCACATTTGAGGGATTTCCTTATGAAAATCTAATGCGTGATGACCTGAGGTGGAGCTGAGGCAGAGATGCTAGCACTAGGGAGCAGCTGCAAATACAAATTTACATTAGCAGAGACACCTGTATTACAATATAATAATAACAGAAAGAGTGCACAATAGATGTAATGCACTTGAATCATCTCAAGGTCTTCCCCTCCCACAACTGTGAAAAAACTGCCATCCACAAAATAAGTCCCTGATATCAAAAAGGTTGGAACCACTGCTTTAAGCCAGCTGGTTACTTATAACACATAATACAATATCTGTACAACATTCTCCAGGGTTCAGCACAGTACTTAGCATCCACCAAATTCCAGTTTTTCTTTTGGGAATACTTCGTAATTTTTCTGAGTATTATTTTTGATCTGTGAGATGGTTGAATTTACAGATGTGTAACCCATAGAATTGCATATGTGATTATTAATGTGAAACTTCTCAGGCAAGTTCAGGGAGAGGAGAGGCCACAGAATCTGCGGGAATAGGGTTGGTGAAGGGCCCTTAAATAAAGAGGACTGAGGAGGTCCTGGGGCAGGGGCCTCTCTCCTGGTCACCAGGGTCAGGCAGGGGCAGCAGGCTCCTCTCAAAAGTTACCACACATGTTGGAAATTCTGCCATGATGAAAAGCCTTTTAAACATCTAAAAGTCTGTCTCTGTCAAATCAGATAAAATTTTAAGAATTTTGGCAAAAACTAGGGGTTTAGGAGGGGACCCATGATGAGCTTGTGTTGTTTAGAAGTGGGGCTGGGAGTCCTGGGGCTCTTCTCTGCCGGGGACCTGAAAAGATCCGGAGTGCCAGACCTCCAGGCTCACGAAGACAGGAAGCCAGGCAGCTGGGCAAAGTCAGGCAGAGGGGCAGAGAAGCCCACAGCCCCCAAAATCACCTCAGAAACTATCTGTGTTTGCAGCAGGATCTGGTCCCACCCCAAATTCCCAGCCCGTATAGCCTGAGACCAGTGTGGGGACTCTCTGTCTCTGGTCTGCCCCAGCACCCCCGATGAATGACTCTTGCAGCTTTCTCCCTGCCCTCCATCATCCCCAGCTCAGCAGGAGCAGCATGGTCCCTCCGAGCCACCATCTGAACCTGCAGAGGCAGAGATGCCATAGAAACTGGGCGTGTCTCTCCTCCTGGCCACTGAGGCAGGTAAGGGAGGGGCAACTGCTTTTCACCTGTGCACACAGGGAACAGCCTCAATCCGGGAGGCTTTCCCAGGTGAGGGAGATTGGGTACCATCCGGGCTTCTGCCTCTACCTGGCTGCCGTCCCAGCAGGGAGGAGACAGCAGCACACGTGGCCCTCTGCCAGGGTTAGAGGAGTGACAGCGACTTAGATCTCAACTTGGGCCACATGTAAGATCTGGCCGGCAGGGTCTGGTGATTTGCTCAGCAATGGAGCTTTTCTAAAAATAGGACAATTTTACATTAAAAAAAAAAAAAACTCAGCTCTTTTACATAAAAAGGTAAGGTTTGTGGGTTGTTTTTTTTTGTTTGTTTGTTTTGTTTTTTTGTCAAATTAGAGACTCCAGCATCCCTTGGCTTGTAGTCTGCCCCCATCAGCTGGGAATAAGGACAGCAGCGCCCTTGGGACAGGCCAAGGTTCAGCATGTGCCCTGGGCCCAGCACTCCCTGGCCTGCCTTGTTGGTTTTTGCTGCCCGCATCTCAGCCCTGGCATCTCAGCCCTGGCTCCAACGAGCTGTGGGACCAGCTCCCACGTTTTCCCGTCTGAGCGGGATTTGAGCTTGATGGAATAAAGGCTGTGGGTCCTGGAGGCTGCTGCCTGGCTTCCAACGCCAGCTCTGCCATTTACCAGCTCCTCATCTGTTAAATGGGGGTGGTAAGATCAGTAACTTCTTCCCAGCCTGCTCTGAGGACGGGATGTGCTCCCCTAGGTAAAGAACAGAGGTCTGGACGCTTCCCAGAGTCCTCTCCCCACCTCTTGGGTCCCACATAACCCGCACGCGGTCAGGGCCTCACCCCGTAGCTCCAGCTCCACCACACCGCTCTCGTCCTCCAGCCCATCGATGACCTCGCAGCGGTAGCGCCCAGAGTCCTCGGGCCGCAGGTCCCGCAGCTCCAGTGAGGCTTCGCGCTCCTGGTCCTGCCGCAGGTGCACGCGGCCTTCGTAGTCCCCGAAGGAGCGGCGCCGCTGTCCAATGGTCACCAGCACGTCCTGCTCCGGGGCTCCGTTCTCCGACAGCTTCCACCACTTGATGCGCACGGGCCTCGGGGATGCCAGGGCTGGCTCGTAGTGGTAGCGGCAGGGCAAAGTCACATTGGCACCCCAGTGGGTGAACAGGGTCTCCTCCGGCGTCTCCACCACCAGCTTCACTCCATTGAAGAGGCCTGGAGTGAAGTGGCACAGAGGGTCCTGGAACAGCCCACCTCGGCTGGGCACGGCCATCCCACGCCCTCACCGGCCCCACAAGGCTCAGGCACCCAGCTGCCCCCTCCCGAACCCTGAGCTGTGGGCTCCCATCTTAAGGAAATTTCTGTTGTCTGAACTCATTTGGGGTGGTTTGGTGTGCATCAAAAGCTAACTGATGGGTCACACCTATCACCCCACCTATGGGGAGGCTGAAGCTGGAGGATTACAAGTTGAAGGCCAGTCTGAGCTACTTAGAGAGACTGTCACAAATAAAACCCCAGAGGAACTGAGCCACCTCTTCTCATCCTAGAAGGGAGGCTGGACCTCCCTAAGAGCCAGAGGCTGCTGTGCTGTGTCCTGTCCTCACCCCAGGAGTCAGGGCATAGCCTGGGGACACGCACTTTCCCTGTGGTCACTCCCCAGGTCCCTGCCACCAGGGCTGTAGTAGAAGCCATTGTAGAAGGGCAGTCCGGGGGCGCAGGGCAGCGTGAGCAGCAGGACCGGGAGCAGCAGACCCACCGAGGCATGCATGGCCGCAGCACCAGGGCGTCCTGGGCAAGGCCGTGGCCCCAAGGTAAACTGGGAAAAAGAAGAAACAAGTCATTAGAGAAACCCACTTTGGGGAACCCCAAATCTCTGTTTCAGCACCCACTCATACACTCATTCGGCAAGTGATTTACAGAGCCTCTTCCGCAGGCCTGGCACTGCTCTCGGAGCTGAGCAGTGACAAGGTAGACAAGGCTCCTCCCTCAGGGACGCCTACAGTCTCAGCCCTCTGGGAGGCCGAGGCAGGAGGAACCCACCAAGTTCAAGCCCCCTCGGGCAATTCAGTAAGACCCTCTCTCAAAATAAGGAACAAAGAGCGGCCGAGGATGTAGCTCAGTGTGAAAACCTGGGCTGACTTCCTAGTACTGAGAAGGAGAGGAGAGGAGGAGGAGGGAGAGGAGGAAGAGGAGGAGAAAAAGGAAGGAGGAAGAGAAGGAGGGATGGAAAGAGGGGGAAGGAAGGAAGGAAGGAAGGAAGGAAGGAAGGTTTAAACACTACGCTAGAGTACTTCTAGGGGGCCATTCCCACTTGGGTGAAAAGTCAAATAAAATAGGCACTGATCCATGAGCTGTAGTTCATTGATCTGGCTGCTTAAAATACCACATTAAAATACCATGTCTTGGGCACTAGGCTTTTTGGCAAACCCACCCCCTTTACTGCTTACACCTTGCACCCAGCTGGTGCCCCACTGACTCCATCCCCGCCCCAACTCGCCCCTTCTAACAAGAGGTCACCCCTGGGAGGAGCTCGGCCCTGGACAAGGCAGGGAGACACAATGCCCAGAGGACAGAGGGGCTGGAAAGGAGCGTAGAAAGTAAGTTGATGGCACAGGGGTTTCTGAGACAGAGGACAGGCTCGTGTCCTAGCAGGGACAGCACGTGGGGACGGGGCTGTGCTGGGTGCCCATTCCTGCCCTTCTCTCCACACGCCCACTGGTCCCTGGGGGTCACTCATCCTGGGCCCAGGGCTCTCAGCCAATGGGACACACTCACAGGAGAAGGGTGTGGTGGCAGGGTGGTGACCATTGGTGTTTCTTCCCTGCGCCCTCTTGCTCCCATGCCTCCCCTCTCAGCACTTCTGTTCTCCGATTCCACATCCTGGCTGCCTCGGATAAGTGCACCCTACTGCCCAGACCTCAGTGTTCCATTAGGGTTCCTTTACAGGAACCATCTGGAATGAATTCTGTCTCACCAAGCCCTGGCTGCTATGGGGAGGGGAGGGGAGGTGTGTGGATATCCCTGGTGTCAGGCCTGGATGCCTGTCGTTTGTCCCAGAGGCCCTGGGGTGCCAAGCATGGCTTTAAGCAGAGCAGCTGCAGGTTCAGCCGTGTAACCTGGAAACCTCCCCCTTGGGGCAAGTGGAATGCGGGTGAGGGGTAGCAGGACCAGGGGACAGCAGGGCTCACCGTGCAGATGTGATGACCTCATATCAACATGGAGAACGCTGCGGGGGCTTTTAACATGGGCACAGCAAACCGCAGCTGCCCCTGCACTAGGGCCATAAGCAAGTGTGCTGCGAACACCTGCGCTCAGAGGTCTCAGGAAAGGGGACACCTCGAAGACAGGAGGGAGAAGAGCAAAGCATTGGCCAGGAGTGGGCCAGGCTGTGAAGGAAAGAGCTCTCTCCAGGGTGTGAAGAGGTTTCACAGGAGGGGTGGAAGCAGAGGCTGAGTCAGCTGTTCTCTCCAACATCTTCGCAGAGACCCTGAAGCCCACATTTGGCCTCAGCACTGTGAGTTGCAGACAGAACAGTACCCACCAAGGCCTTGGTTCCTGTCCAAGAGGAATTCCCAGCTGGCACCCATGAAGCTCTTGCTGACAGGGAATGGGACAGCCCAAGGCAGAGCTAGGGAACTGAAAGATTGGGGTTTATATCCTATCTCCACTCCAAGTGTCACTTGGTATTCGTGGGGATTCACTGCAGGCTCTCTGAGGATACCAAAATGCTCGGGTCCCTCATATAACCTACGCACATCTGCTGTATAGTTTAAATTATCTCTAGACTACTTAAAATACAATGGAAACACTCGGCCAGCTGTGGGGGCAACACCGTTAATCCCAACACTGTGGGATTAGGGGCAGGAGGATACCAATCCCAGCCTGGGCATCTTAGCAATTTAGCGAGCCCTGTCTCAAAAAAGAATGTAAGTGTTCTGTAGATCTTACACTGTATTATTTAGGGAATAATAATTTTTAAAAAGCCAAGTCTATGTAGATGATTTATTTTTCCAGATACTTTCCATCCGCAGTGAGTCTCGTGTGCTTTCTACAGCTGCAACCTGCAGATGCAGAGGAGCCCAGCAGCCCTCATTTGGCGACTTGAGGATGAGCAGGTTTCTTAGGCCGGAGCTACGGGCTGTTCTTAAGACTTGCCGTGGCGTATTTCTCAACGCTCTGCTCTCATTTCCTCCCACAGTGATATAGGTCTAGAAGGGGCCATGGTCTCCCAGCTGCAGGAGGGCCAGGTGACTGTCCTGGTCAATGGCAGGGAACAGACATCCTAAGTGTCCTGTCCAGGTCCTGCACTGAACCTACTGGGGCCACCTTTCCCTGGCTAGGCTTTCCCCAGCCTGCTGGCAGCTGCTGTAGTGACACATGGTGGGCTCAGAGAGAAGCAGCCGAACTGGCCCCTCCCCACCCACACTGTCCCATGAGCCACCCACGTTCAGAATGTCCTTGTGAACACATCTTAGCCTCACGTTCACTCTGTGCGGTGGGGAGGATATGCCAAAGGAAAACATCAACAGCCGGGTTAATGAGCACTTACAATCTCACGGAATCCTCACCTCAACCCCTAGAGCTGGGACCCATTAGAATTCCCATTTTACAGATGGAAAACCAAAACACAGCATGAATCCATAACCTGCTCAGGGTTACCCAGCTAGAAAGTGGCAGAACCCAGATTTGAACCCACCGTGCCAGACTCAGGGAGGTAACCACACAGGGCCCGTAGCTCAGTGACTGGACAGAGCTGGGCCTCCTGAGGGCTCACTTCCTTTCCTCTCCTTGAGGCTGCACTTTGGGAACCAAGGGGGGAGCAGAGGAAGAAGTGAGGCCTGTGGGTGCTGAACCAGATGCCCCAGTCCACCCCTCACCTGTCCCTCTGACCGCCTCTACCTGCAGCACCCAGGGCCTCCCAGGGCAGCTCATCGGGCACCAGTGACCCCAGGGCAAAAGGCTTCCTGAGAAAGAATGACTGCAGATGTTCTCATCACGAACTGGCATTTTTATAAAATCATACATTAAAAAATAACAAGATTAGGGGAAAATCAAAGCCAGAACAGACGCCTTAAAATGTATGCAACTTTGGCGTCCGGCACTAGGAGAACAATCCTAATTAAAACCAGCGCCGTTAATTCTCTGCCAACATGTGCCCGAACGCCCATCACCAGCCCTTGGCAGCCCTCACCCCGCCCAAGGGCTTCCTCCTTGGAGACAGAGGTCCCTGGGACATATGATGACTACCGTGACCAAAAGTAAAAGTCTGACCCAGGGCTGGAGGCCGAGCTCAGTGGTGGAACACTTGCCTTTCCTACGCCAAGCCCTGGGCTCCATCCCCAGCACAGCAAAAATGTTACTAAAACCAAAGTCTGACCCAATGCAAAGTCCTCATCAACCATTTTTTTATACTCAAGGATGTCTGTCCAATTTTTCATCTATTTCTAATTTAACCAGAAAACCTATGGTAAGTTCTCCTCAGCAGTTACACCAACTGACCCCGCAGGTATTTCTCTCTTGCCCTTTTAACTTGCTGGGAAGATGAGAGTGGCTACTGAGAGTACGGGGATTCTCAGTCCGTGATGTTTGCCCAACTCTTTGGGCAAGGGCTGGGATGGTGCGGGGACAGGTGCACGCACGCAGTACAATAGAAAATTATGGTGAATGTCAACATTTTTAAATTTTTAGAAACACTGCCATGACTCCCCCTCAAAATACCTCCCTCCCTTCCAACATACTTATGCCATCATTCTGGCCACTTGCTGAAGCAGCTCTGGCGATTCTCTTTCATGAGTGTCTTCTTTGTGCTGCCATGGTTGCCTCAACCGTCCTGAACTGATTCAGAACATTTACCTTTTACGTTTCATGGTCCTTCTGACTTTGTGGAAGAGACAAAAGTCACACAGTGTCAGATCTGATGAATATGGTCCATGACATACTGTCATGTTTTGGTTTTTATGTGTACAGGTGTGTTTTGTTTTGTTTTTGGGACAGGGTCTCACTATGCAGTTCAGGCTGGCCTTGAACTCACTTTGTAGCCCATGCAGGTCTCAAACTTGCAATGATCCTCCTGCCTCAACCTCCCAAGTGCAGGGATTATAGGCATGCACCACCACACCTGGCTCATATTGTCATGTTTTCACAAGCCTGCCTTTCCAGTTTTGTCTGTTTGGTGTTTTGTTTTGTTTTGTTTGTTTTTGTTTTGGGCACTAGGCAGCAGCATTCACTGGGTTTTTGATGATGCCACTTAAAGGCACTCACAAGAGGACTTCCAGAGCTGCTGGGAAGTGTGCTCAAAGCAAGGGAGAGTATTCTGAGGAGGATCCCTGGCAATGAGTCTTTTACTATAATAGATTTTTTTCATTTCAGCATTCATTGTATATTTTAATCACCCCTGTAACTACCGAAAGTTGCTTTTGGCAGGACTGTCAGCATTTGTTGTAATAAACCACATAATAAATTGCTCTCTAATGATCTGAAGTCTCCGGCATTCAAAGCTGGGGAAAATCACTGACCCAGTGAGATCTTGCCTCATACCCGGGCTGTCCCCTCCTCACAGCCGCAGAGCAGACACAGACACAGACACAGACACAGAGGCAAACACTGGGGGTTCTGCGGCAAGCCGAATCCCAGGAGTCCCTTCTCAGTCAGCCCCAGCAACCCCAGCACACACTCACAGCCTCCGGCCTGGGCCCTGCACTTGCTCCCTGGTTTTTTAAAGGCTTCTACAGCTAGCAGCTTCCGGGATCCTCCCAAGAGCCCCTGCCCCACTCCCAGTAAGGAAAATTTTATTCTTCTATTTCATCCACAGGTTAA